AAATATAGTTACGAAATGTGCCATAGTTTTTAAGTCAATTGAAATCCGCCCAGATTTCCTTAATTTTGGAAAATTGGTGATAGGCTTGAAAGCGAGCCACCGTTCCTTTTGCTCTGTGATACTGACTTCACTTTCACCAAGTTGATCTTCTTTTTCAAAGATCTTCTGCTTCGTTTCTATTGCAAACCTTGTTGATATTTTCCTAATTTACTTGATAAGTCATTGAAAAACATCCCACATTAACAACATCAACATCCAGTTGTTGCTCGCATGCCTTGTGATGTGTAAAAAGTATCTCCATTGCAGTTTTACAAAATACACCAATTTTAGAACATCTGAAAAAGCAACTCATCCAGCGCAGAAAATTGTGACTGTGAAACATGAGTTTTTATCAAAATTGTCATGTTTCCATTACAAACTTTTATGTTTGTAATTCCAATTTGTGCCCTTAACCAGTGGTGGGCAATCCTGGTCCTCGAGGGCCGGTGTCCTGAATCACCTCCGACTGCAGTCAAGTTCTCCAGAGTCGTGCTAATAATCTCATCATTTGACTCAGTATGCAGTTGAAGTTGCAGGAGACCGGACCTCAAGGCCTGCAGTTGCCCACCCCTGCCTTATACGGTCAATGGGAACACGGCTAAAAGAACGGCTTAAAGAAAAGGATATCTGTTTCCATTCAACCAGCAAAGAAAGTAAGATCCATCTGGTTGGGTACGACACTGAGGCATGAATCACACAATTACCTTTCGGCTCCATGAAGATATTTTTCCACGGTTGCCACATGAGTTAGTATCTATTGTATTTCCAATAAATAGAAAGGAGAATCGATGGACTCGGATGCTGGGAACACTACATCAAACTGCTTCTGGCTGACCGTTGCTTTTAGTCCCCTACTTCTCCGAACGGCACAACGGCGGTGTTTACACCTTCTTCTAGTAATTGAAACACCTCTCCATTTGAGGTCTTCCCTGGTGAGATTCTTTGGATCTATTGGGTGAAAACAAGGATTAGAAATCTTGAAGATGACTTGTCGACATCCTGTGTCAGGAAACATCACAGATCGTGATTGATCTGTGAATCACAACCGGGGTACCCCTGTTGGGAGATGATACAGTGACGAGTGGTTTGTGAGGATTCTACCCTGGATGAATCCTCATCTTCTTGATGATTATGAGCTTCTGCTGCTAACTCTAAGTGAAGTGTTAGCTGGTCAAGTTGCTCTTCTTCTGGACTGATCACTGCACCTAGAGAGAGACAGTTACACATTGATGTGTAACTGTAAGATCCGGTCCACATGTTTTATTCATTTGTCTGTCTTTAGCTTAGGAAAAATGGTCACTGTGTCATTCTGAGGGCAAAGAACAGATTAACCCTGTAATTATTTAGTGTCGGACAGTGAGCTTGTCAGCAGGTCAAACAGTGGCTAACACTCCTATTCCCTCCATTTCCTTCCTCTGTCGCATTCCATCCATCTACACCATGGCCTTATCACTTGCTCTCTTGTAGTTGAGGATTTAGCTTGGCCTGATTCAGAGAATAGATGTTCTACCCGGCCTGGGTCAGTACTTTAAGTATTACAAAGAAGAATAGGAAATTATTATTTATTTAAAAAACACTGTCTATTTGAGGTCATTCTTATACGTGATCTTGAGCCAAAAAATTGAACAAACTTCGTCCAAATAGATAAGTTGTGCAGAATCTTTACACCTTTTGTCTTTCTGCTCTACATAGAGCGATACAAATTAAACAAGATTTGATTAGCTGATTGGGTACAACCTGAAGTCAACTGTATCAGACATGCTGCTTGTAGTTTGTCAGCAGCAGTTTTACTGTCTTAAATTAAATAAATTCACGTATCTAAAATTAAGGCCTTACAATGACTTAAATTCAATTCAGAAAAGTAAGTTGGCCTTAAATACAATGATCACTGGCCTTAAACTCTTAAACTTTGTCTTGGCAGGACTGCTTAATTGTATTTTCTACATTCTCTTTTCGTCAGGCAAAAGCTGGAGTCACACAGACATCTTCCTTGCATTCTGTTTCGCAATACTAATACCTTTGCTACGTAGCTCGCTAGCTTTCTTTTTGCGTCTGTTATGAGTAAATGCATAATTATCACCAGTTGACTGGATGAAGTTTGTATATGTCATTTGAAATACAGATATTAAATTCAATTGTTAATCTTTGTAGAAAAATTGTAAAAAGTTTTATTTTTGAGTTGCTGAAATAGCGTAGCGTTGAGTTGCTGAGGGTGTCTGCTGAAACCTGCAGACACACTATGATTATTTTATCGATTATTCTGACGATTAATCGGACAAATAAAACAGCACTTTCTACTGATTTTTCATTTAACCACTTAAACTTATTTTATACATTAAAAATATGCCAAAAATGCATATGAACAATTCAGTACATTTGTCTAAATAAGAAAATAAACATTTTATTGCTTACTATGTCATAAGATATATTACTTTATAAAGTAAATAAAGTGTTTATTCACTTTGCTTAAGTAAATAAATACTAAAACTTTTAAGTATTTATTTCTTTTCTGCTTCACTTGACATCAGTAAAATCTGAAAATTTCAATGAACCTGCAATTAATAACTGGATCACAAAAACTCCTTAATAGGAGAATTATACAGAATTTAAATCAGGTGAAAATAAAACTATAGCACTTGAAGAGTTCTGTGTAGAACATAGTCAAAGGCAAAGAAGGTTTTTTGTTTTAAATCTAAAATACAAAATATACTTTTGGTTCAGTTTTGGCTTAATTACTTAACTGACTTTTTTAAAAAATTATTATTATTTCAGCAAATAGCCTTTTTTGAGCCGCAATGTTGTTATCAATTAATTGATTACAAAATTTCTTGATGATTATTTCAATAATTGATTAATCACAGTCGCCTCAGCCCTAATATCTTGACATAATCAACCCATATCTACATTTAACAGTTAATAATACTAACATCTTTTCCCTCACGTGTTTATCTGGCTTTCAGAGAGAGCGATTGTTTCCGTTAGCGTGCGTATTCAGCCGATCGAACCAGTCTGCAGACGAGCTCTGTACCTGACAAAAAGTGAGGTACAGAGCTTTTCACTGCAGTCTGCTGTGCAGAGCATGGTGAAAAGTGTGCTGATCATCAAAGCAGAGCGCGAGTGTGCTGAGCCCGGAGCTCAGTGATCGGCTGCTGATGACTTCCAATTATTTCCTCACAGTCTGCAATAAAGGGTGGGATTTTTTAATTTAGCATTTTTCTACTGATTAGTTTACAGCAGGGAAAATAAATATTTATACTGGTAATCTTTCATGTTTCCCACTTGAGTACACCTCAAATGTGAAAGGCAGAATCTAGAAACAAAATCGGGAAATCAAACTGATTTTAAAATACATAATTAGCATTTTGTTGCATGAAATGAGTACCTCTAAGACAATACGAAAACAGAACTTAACGTGCCGTTGCAAAGCTCAGACAGATTCCCCGCTGCTTGTTGGACTGTTGTTAAATTGAATGAAGAAGGCTCCAGAATACAAAGATATTTAGGATTTAAAAATGGCTTTGACTTGCATAACATCAACACCGCATGATCTCCTTACATACATTTGCATAAATGCATTATGTTTATAGAAATGTCTTCAAATGCCTAAAAAGATGTCTTTGCATGCGCCCACATATTAGGATGCATTTTCAAATGTGTGTTGTATAAACATTCAATAAGATGCAAAGGAAGAATTGATTCAAGTGGCGCAGTGCCTGCATAGCAGATCCGTTTCTGAGCTAGCGTTCAGTTATTTCGGCTTCTAGTCATGCCGCTATCGCCACTTCTTTCTACACTGTCAGAGGAAATGTGGGACTTTTTGATTTTATTCAGATCATTCCAATATCAGGGATCTCACTGTGTTAGAAAAAAAGACCCAAATCATTGAAGTTTAGCTTTTGCAGTAAATGCTTCTGTTCACAGTAATATCGGTTTACTTCTCATGAAGACATCATGTCATCTCTGGGGTATTGAATGGCCTCAATTTAGGTCAGTCTTCCCCCAAGTGTCGATGTGTATGACAGTAATTAATTTTGTGGTTTAATGTGACCCAGAACAGTTCATTTTGAGGAGTGACTTTGCTAATTAAGTGAGCCATTGGATCTCTCATGTCTGAACCTGGAATCTCAATACTGTACTATTTATAAGTGAGTGTAGAGTAGCGCCGTTTTTGTGTATCTGCTTCCCTAATTCGTCATGTTTTGTCACCACAGACTTATCGAACCAAAACCACATTGTTCTATCTAGAGCTGCGGCTAATGATTTTGCTAGCTGACTAATTTGTGAATATTTTTCAAAGTAGCTAATTAGTCAATGGTTATTTTTAATCAACTTCTGCTTCGTGTGGGTGCATCCTCTCTTACTAAGTGCGTTTGTCAGGTCAAAAAAAAAAACCCTGCTAAGAATAGCTGCTTAATGCTGAATAATTCAGGTTTGACCAATTTGATTCTGACATTTTAAATTAGAGCTCAATTGGGTTGGTCCAGACTTTTTAACCTTTTTAATTCAAATTCAGAATCACATGGTAACTTCCTGTTTGAAGTTTATTGATCTTGCCATTAGCATCATATCACTTAAAAAAATGGTCTCAAAACGACAATATTACCATTTAACGCAATAACTGCTGGATCAGTTTATCGTCCTGCAAAATGTATTATTGTGTCAGACCTAGATATTTCATGTAATAATAAACAAGCTCTCTGTCTCAGTTTTGTTCCATTTCCCAGAGGAGACATCCATCGATCAATTTTGATTTGATGCATTTTTAGTGCAACAGGCACAAGCCATGTCTATAGCAAGGAATAACTTCCTGCTCCTGTCAAATTAAGCTGCTGTCCATGCAGGTCGTCACCTTTTGTTCACCCATCCACAGTTGGAGCACATTGTGATATGAGATACTTTATTAGTTTTTGACCCCAAATGGTGGGATTCTTATTACCCTTTGCTTATGTGTCCCTTGTTAGCTTTGCGAAGCCGGGATTCAACATATCCCCCTCACCCACCTCCAGCTCTTCCTTCTTCTACATTACAAAACTCAAAGCACACAGCGCGTCCAGACATATTTGATCTCCACAGTACCGGCAACAACCAGGGTAAGTCCACCCTATGATTGGAGGATGTACAATATCACTGTTGATCTTTAGGCTATAAACGCACACAGAACAGAATTTTCTGAATTTCCAAAGTGGGATAAACGGTATCGGCTGACAAAAGCTGTGGGAAAAGTGGAGAAAGGAGATTGTCGGATTGTTTTGTGTTGAACTGCCCCTCTTTCTCTCACTCTAACGCTCCCTCCCACTTGTAGCCTCTCACTCCCTCCTTACTTTGAAGCCCAACTGCTTTACTCATCCCTGGGATCCTTCTGTGGGGATTAATCAGTTTTCCTGGAGAGATTATTCAAATACTATTACATCTGCAGCCGACTGCACCACAGCCCTCCCTCCTTCCTTCGCTCCTTCCTTCCAGGCACATCACAGACGAAAGGGAGTCGACAAAAGTCTTACTCCAGCTATTTTATTTGTATATTCTGTTAGTTCTCTTTCTCTGTGTTTCTCTCTCTCTCTCTCTTTTTTAAGTATTGTAATAATTTTCTGGTTTCAAAAAGCATTGCACAAGGTGAGACCTGATAGAACTTTCCACCTTCTCCCGTTTACTCCGGAGTTGTGTATGTTCCCATGATTACAGAGTGGGTATAAATGGTTCTTATGTAATTGTTCTCATTAGTGGTAACAGTGGAGAAGCCAAGGGTTCTCACAGCACCAACATACTGGAGCTCTGACAGATCCATCAGGGTACCGATCCCTTCTTCTACCTCCCCACACGACCGCTTGACTCCAGCCCAATGCCTTTTAACCTTTCTGTTAGCCCTTTGTTCTGTTTTAATTTTCAAGTTTTAAAATGTGACTTTTGATGCTTGAGATCATTTATTTTGGGAAACAAACTCCAACCGATTGTTCCAAATTGAGACTGAAAACACAAATTTAAACAGACATGTTTAAGCAATTAATTTGATAATGAGCAATTAATTGATTGATCTTGTGAGAAATATTTTTGAAGGGCAATTTTGCTTAGAGGCTTCATAATCCATTTTGTTTTTTAGGTTTGGTTGTGTTTTACTTTGGATATTTAAAATGATTTCCAATTCCAATGTGGAGTTTTTGACAGAAAATTAAAGTTTATTAGTGGTTGAGAGAGTGAACTTACATTCTTTAAAATGGTCTCAAAATAACAATATTATCATTTATCCCACTCGTTTCTGGGACAATTTATTGTCTGGCAAATTTATTGTGACAGACCTATTGTCAGTGTTTAGTCTATTGTTGGGAACAAAACAATTTAGGACAGTTAAAAAAATCCATTTTGTCTTACGAAAATCTTCATAAACCTTCAACTTTTTCAAGTTTTACTCATAATTTCACCAACTAAATTTGATGTAAGTAGAGGAGCAGAAAGTTGAGCGTAATTTAAGTGGAAGAGCTGATGTATTTTCTGGACCAGCTATCGACAAAGTACTGGATACGAACTTATTCATAAACTTGACACATTTGAACTTTTTTTTCTTCGAGAAAGATGTCGATTGCGCATCATGTTATAATTGAACAACCTTTCTGTAATCCGTGGAAGCCGTTTTTATTTCGCTGCACTAGCCGACACTTTTAGTGTCTGTTGAGTTCTCCTTGTGGTTTGTAGCTTTTGCAACGCCACGGCGCTTCTCAGAAATGCACACAAGACAAGCTGATTTCTTGTATTTCTCCACTTCAAATGGTCTGTGGAGGACGTATCAACGGTTGTTTCAGTGCCATTTCTATGTAGTAATAACAGTATGGTATTTTTTTGATTTGCGTATCTAAAAACATATGACAGTAGGTGGTATAAATACCAAAAAATCTAAACATACCTACTTTTCTAGCTCTCTGTGGTTTCGTTCATCAGCTTCCATTTTTGTAATCTGCAGTTATTAACTACATCTTGCCTCATTTCTCTTCTCTTTTTATTTTCCTGCCATTTTGTTTTTCTTTTAAGTGCTCTCCTGCTTTTCAATTTTCACCACGTTGCTTTTTTTTTTTTTTTAGCTTTTTAGGTAATCAAGGAGCTAATTGTACCAAATATGATTCAAGCCTGCTATTGTGCAGCACTAACACACACTGTACTCCACTTCTTTGTGGCATGTCCTTTTGATTTTCTCTTCATTTAACAAAAAACACTGTTTTCTGTAAGTCTTTCATATAAAATCTTGATGGAATGCAGCAGCTTTTAACCACAAAACTGTACCTCATACTGAAAAATCCCTGGAGAAACCACCTGACAGAGTGATGCAGTAATGCAGATTTATTACACAGTGCCATTGTTTGACATTAGACTGTGAACATATGTTGCACCTTGTTGACCTCCTGGTTTGTTTTCACAGTTCAATCCCTGACTCTTAGTGTTGACACAGACGTCACAGACGTCAGATTGAGTAGTTGCTAAGCACTAAGGACCAAAACTGGTTCATAGTGCTGAGTTTTGTATACGCCTGTTTATAATGTTTAGTAGAAAAAAGTGATACAAATCTATTCAACTCATTTTGTAATTATTGTAGAACACACACACACACACACACACACATATATATATATATATATATATATTTTTTTTTTTTTTTTTTTTTTTTTTTTTTACATTTTTTGACTCCTCTTTCTATCCTGTGTATTTATATACTGTGTTATTATGGTCACATCCTCTAAAAACTCTTCCAAGTGAAGAAAAAGAATCACTCAATAGAACGACTCTATGACACCATATTGGGGCCGTTGTAGATCGGGAGGGGGGGAGTACATTTCTGTCCAAAAACTTATGAAATTTCAGTATAATGTTTTTTTTTAATGGTTTCTTTGCTACAGTTGATAAAGTGCACAGAATTGGAATTTCTTAATATATGTTAGGCCAAAAATAAAGGCTTATTTTGTTAATCAAAAATGTACAAAATTATTAGATTTTATGCATTTCTTTATGTGGAGCATTATATAAAACAAAATAAGAAAAATCTGCAGACTGTGCCAGTTTTTTAAACTCATTAATTGACAGACTAATTAATTACTGAAATAGTCATTATCCGTAGCCCTAGTTCTCTATTTCCTTGTTAATTACGTATTTTTTATCTGGGCTAACCGGAAGAAGAAATGCTGACTCTCAACATTCAAATATAAGCTTTAAATACTTTTCAGGTTCATAATTATCAATCATAGGATTCACTCATGAGCTGCCTTTGTGTGTAAAAACATTGAGCACAAGTGAGTAATGAAAGGTTCATTATCAGAGGCTTGAATTGAAGCCCTTTGTTGGGTTTCGCTCCTCGCTGTGTGTCAGAAACTTCTGGCTCAGATCACTGGTGAATGTGGATCCTTTACGGCTCAGTGCTCACTTTGTGCCCTTACCCTCTTGACCTCTTTCATGGAACAGTAGGATCATCGAGTTGGATTAAGAGTAGCAGAGTCATAAAACTCTGCAGCCGGAGTTGGATTTTGCCCTTTCCAGACACGTAGCATTCTGACATCTCAAGGTGTATGCAAACGCATGTTGAGTTCTAGTTTCTTATTTGCATAGGCTAGGCTAGGTCAAGCACCAGCGTACTTCGCAGATGCATACTTTGCAAAAGAGTGTGGTCTTTTCCCACCCACAGGAACAAACAGCCTGTTTTCACCCAGATTCCCTCTCTATCTAATATCTCTTTTGCAGACAAGATTCTTTGGAGTGTGTGTGTGTGGTGTGTGTGTGTGTGTGTGTGTGTGTGTGTGTGTGTGTGTGTGTGTGTGTGTGTGCGCGTGTGTGTGTGTGTAGGATGGAAACTGGCAGTAAGGTGCTAAGAAATCTGGAAGACGAGTTAGGTCAGTAGCTCTGTTTTACCACACACCATAATTCTGGGGAATTAATAAGCAAATATGTTTTTTTTCCCCATGTGTTTTAGTCTTTCTTTAACTGTGTGTTTGATTTCTGTTTTGTATTGTGCTAATATTGAGCCGATCCCATCCCGATCAGAATCATGCATATTTTTATTCCTTATTTTGTAGTGTGGAATGTTAGAAAAGGCTTAACTCTGTTGGATTACTCTAATAGTCCACAAAAAAATTGTCAACAGTAAGTATGAGAACTGATCCATTGTTATTAACCAATGGTTCATTCAGCATGTGGGATACGAGTGCTACTGGATGGAAATCCTGGACTGGACTACAACCTGGAGTGGAATGCTCCTACTGAAATACTTATATCAGAGATTTTAGATGAGGACTGATATGACACTCTTTTTTTTTGACAGAAATTGGACTGGGACTCCTGTAAATGAAAGATTTACAAAACAAAATATCTATGAGTCAAAGCATATATTTCTAAGCCTTATTTGATCAAAGAAAGTGTTTCAAAGTACATACTGCTGGTTGATTTGTTGTATGATGGAAGTACTTCATTTTCATATTTTTAATCGATACGAGGGCAGAAAAATCACATTTTCGATATTTCACCTGTCAATCACTAAACAGTCGATTAGGGAAATATTGATGGTTTAGCATTGAGGCCACTGCTTATGGCTAACCCAGGTTTCGTCTCATTCTTACTGAGTTAAAACAACAATGAGTCAGAACATATTTCCCAGAGCTTGCTCTGTGTAATATCTCATTTGGTTTTCAGATGACTGCGAGTGTTTTCATGTCTTCATGGTAACAGATGCATTAATTTTGTTAAGCCAGAGACTCGACGCAGACGGATCTGTTTTCCTCCAGTCTGCAGTGTGGAATCATGCAGTCTGTCACATGCACTGCACTGAGCCCAAACATGATATGACCTAAATAAATGAGTTTAATAGAGGAGAGCAGGAGTGAGCCATGGAGCAATATTTATCCCCCTTGCGTGTCGTCTTGTTTTCAAACGCAATACCCGCCTGCAGGCTACCACTTTTCCAATATGCTCATTGAAGGTTAAGCGTTTGTATGTTACTTGGAGCTGTACTGTCACTCCATTTTTCCTTCTAAGCACCTGCTTTGGTGTCCATTTTCCTGCCTAATTTTCAGGTCCATGCTTAGAACATTTTCACTTTTGTCATGTTGCCACTTCAAATTTGTATGTATTTTGGGGGGATTTTGTTTGTTATACCAATACAAAGTATATATACTATGGTGAAAGAATTGGTATACATAGTTGACCTCTTTTTTACTTATTTTCTTTTCCAAATTAAAATTAGAAAACCGTGTTGTGCATTTATATTTAGCTGCCCTAAGTCAACTTCTCTGTCCTGGCAGAAGAAAAGCTTCCCCGCTCTGAACTGCTGACACCACATTTCACACCATTTTTTTTTTCCTAAAATGACTTCTTATGACTCTTTTCTAAAGGCCAAAGTTGTGGAGTGAACTGCTAATAGGCAAATATATACATTCTTACAGTTCCTATAATTGCCATAGGTTACCTTGTGTGTAGACTGTTGGCCATATTTTATCTCCGTTTTGTGATGATGGATTGAGCATCGCTAAAGAAACGTTTCACATGGAATCCAAATCAAATTCGCTGAACTTTGTCATTGTGTAGCGACTAGATGTTCAGAAAAAGTTTCAATCAGAATAAATTTTTGCTTCGCAGGACAAAAAAAATAACCTTGATCGTTAGAAAAATAAGTTGTTTTTTTTCCCCTTCCTCCCAATGCCTCCTGGGTGTCATCACAAAATCTTAGATTACATATTTCAAATGAATTAACTGCGTTGCATTTTGACTCAAGTTGTACATGAATAATGTGTGAGACTCACTTCCATAGCAACTCCGATTCTACTGTCTTCCTGTCACAACAAGAGGTTTTGTGGCGTGGAGACTGTGTGCTTTGGCGTGATCGAACCAGGAAGGCTTTGTTGATGTTCTGCCTGCAGAACTGGAGCCTGGCATGGACAGATAGGAAGAAAACCTCAACCTGAAGCTCACTGTCTGCTCCCAGTCACTGCAGGACACGTTTCATTATGCAAGCAGTCAACCAGAGAGTGTGTGTGTGTGTGCGCGCAGGTGTAATTCTGCTGCTCATTCTTGCTGGTGTGTGTTCGTGGACGGTCGGCTCTCCGGGATTACAGACCTTAATTCCCGACCGATCCTCATCAGTTCAGAAGTCGGCGGGTACAACTCGTTAGTCCAGCAGTTTGCTGTGTCCGTGTGTTGGAAGGGGGATTTCACTGCCGAGTGACTTTTGATTCCCCCCAGTTTTCTCGCTGACCTGGGAGATTTGAGCCAGGCTTGATGGATGAACCTCTCACTTCTAATTTGGATCAGCAACTTTTAATTGGGCCTCTGCTTTTCTTGTGTAACTTAATCCATGCTCAAAGAAGAGAATAAGTCCACATGGCAGTACTGTCACTTTAATTAAATGTGCTGGGGTTTTGTTTTTGTTTTCTGTTTTTTTTCATTTATTTTATTGTTTGAATCTCATTGAAGATCACAGTTATTCTCAGAGAACATTCCTTATTTTGCTTATTTATTAATGTAATAAAGGTAGAACAAAATTAAGGATGCATTTAAACTTTCTTTTTTGACACACCATTGTTGAGCAGGAGAGCTAACAAAGGTCAAAGTGAAACCAGGATGTGCGTTCACAAACTGTGTTCAAGTAGTAAATGTGCTCTGCTCTTCTCTGTAGGTGTATTGTCTTCCAAATAAAGGTGTTGACCTATAAATTTATATTTAAACCAATTTTTTTAAACTGCTTCTTGAATCATATTTTCTGTATCTGGTGAAGTAATGAGTAAGCAAGGCTGCAGTTGATGCATGATTTCTTTTAGTTGTCTGATTTCTCATCGTTTTTTCTCGATTAGTTCAGTAGTCAGAGATTATTTTACCTAAAACATGGCATATAACCATTTATTTAATCTTAAATAAATATTCCTGGAACTTTGAATTTTACGCACAAACCTGTTTTTGTTTCAGTATAAACTGATGGAATTTGATAGAATATGGAACCTTATTAAATTATTAGAAATAAATGTTCTGTTTGTTCATGGACTTTTCCTCTTGTGTTAGATTATTATTATTTTCCTTCCAAGATGGTGGAATATTCTTTAAATTAATTCCCTTTCTGCCATTCACAGGGAGCGACGCGATGAATAAGCTACGGCAGAGCTTCCGGCGCAAGAAAGACATCTACGTGCCGGAGTCGAGCCGGCCTCACCAGTGGCAGACGGATGAGGAGGCGGTTCGCAGCGGCAGATGCAGCTTCGCAGTCAAGGTGACTCTCCTCCTTCCTCGTTACTCTCCCCTTTTGTAGCCGGAGTACAAACACACCTGAAATCACTCATTTTGCAAACCCTAAATCAGCGGCGCTGACCTTAAAGCGTGAGACAGCCGAACCTCAGAGCTTCTCCTCGGTGTCAGACTCCGCTGCAATTAATCAAAAGCTCTCGGAGGACGCGAGCGCAACTTCAATGTAGCTTGCAGCTCCGTTAAAGATGCACACAATGCTTCCTGATCTCTACAGCTTTTTACCAGAACCAGAATGAAGGTGCACTACGATATAAAAAGTTACGTTTGATCAATATTGGCAACAGTAGAAAGGCGGGTCTGTGCGAAAAGGGGTTCATCCATGTAGCAGCACTCTGACCTGCTCTTCTGCAATTGATGAAGTGGAGAGTTGGTCTTATTTTGGCAACAGAGTCTTCCACTTTTGCAAACAGAAGTGCAACGGTACGCTTCCTCTCATCGCATGGGGCCAAATGGTCACCTCATCTCAATAAAAGGGAGAACTGAAGACCTGGGTTTAGTGAGAGGGAGGTTTTTGGAGGGGTTTTTTTCCCACATAGCTGACATTTGTAGATTTTTATTTGATAAAGAGCTCTCTGATTTACTGCAGGGTTGAATTAATGATGACGTCTAAGGCCTTAGGGTTAAACTAAGACAATGTAGACATTTATGTAAACGCAGATTTGCATTTAGATCGTTTAAATCAGACATGCTGAATCGTTTCCTCTTTTTTTTTTGTTTGTTGATGACAAACAAATTTTGATGACAATTTTGTTTGTCATCAAAATTGTGGGAATTAAATCGAGCTTCAGCAGCCACAAGATTCCATGTATATTTTCAGCTTTAAAATCAAGGATTCCCTCAAAGTACATGAAGCAGGATTTATTTATGAGCAATTAGTGACGCACCAATCACGCTCCTCCAGGCAGATATTTGCAGTTTTGCTTGGCTGGACACAGAAAATGTTTGCAAATCCTTTGATAAGGGTTATAGTTTTAAATCCAACAGAAAACAAAAACATAATTGCAACTTTATCACAAGTTATGCATCACAGAATGCATCTCAACATCCAATCCTTGTTTAATTTGTGGATTGTTTTCAGTTATTTACGGTCTTGAACAGACATTACGCAGTGCAGTGATGGCAACATTTTCTGGTTTAGCTAAGACGTTTACATAAATAGAAAAGATTAAACAAGAACATTTCCTTTCTTCTGCTCTTCCTCTCATTATGGGACAATGCAACCTACCATGCTGCTCCTCTGTGTCCCTCCTCCCCTTCCTGTTTCCAGACTCCCTCTCTAGGTGCCTCAGAACGAGGCGAGTTGTGTGTAAGTTGTTGCTGTGAAATTATCACCAACTGCGGCGGCGTGTAGCACACCGAGAGCAGGAGAGGATGGTCGACTGCATGTGATTTTATTTAGGGGTAAAGGATTACGAAGACAAATTCATTCCACCTTTTTAATAACTGTATTAGTGAAGAGGTTAGAAGTATGTTTAGCAAATTTTTTAACTAATTTGAACTTCTGTTGAGTCGGTCTGTTTCATAAAATCCCTGAAAGTTGTGTTGAAGCTCATGAATTTAATAAGACAAAATGTGAAAAAGTTCAAGAAGTGTGAGTACTTCTGCAAGGCGCTGTGGTACACTCTTTATGGTCCTTTTTAAGGTGTCAGTGGATTTATGCTAAAATCAAATTAAGAGTAATTTGCAGCAGCGCTCTGTGAAACATGTAAAACCAGAGTGTTCACGCATCCTTAAGTCTTAAATTCAAGCATGTCTCAAATTCACTTGATATAACGCATGTTGGACTTAGAGACATTAATTACAAGTCTTTAAATTCCATTTAGTCTCAGTTTTTGTTTTTATTTGGGGATTTCCTGCTTCATTGCATTCTGTGACTCCAGGCAGTTGAGGCTACCAGTAACTAGGTAGTAAAGTACCCTTGCTAGCTTGCTAGCTTTTTTATCTCTATCATGGGAAAGTGAAAATATATTGCCAGCTTGTTGTCTTTTGTGCATTTCTTCCACAACATAAGATAACAGTCTTAAAAAATGTTAAAAGTGCAGAATTATGTGAATTAAACGTTTTTGAGCTTTACATCCTGTTACAATATTTCCTCATCAAAAACATACATAGAATGTTGCTTTGATTCTTTCATGCATCTCCAGGGCAACCATTCAGCTGTGCAAAGAGCCTGGGTGGACCTAGTCCTGCCTTCGAGGACGAAGCTCCTCCTTGAAGTTGCAATTTCCAAGCTTCCGCCTTACAGAGCAGCCTTCCCCCACCCCTTCAGACTAGCCAGCAGCAATTAGCAAACACCTGATGGAACTGTGCATTTTCTGAGCTCATCTCCTTGTGCAACACTGTTAAAAACATTGTTAAAGAGTTAATATGTGATGATTTTCCTAAAGGCGGAGTTCAGAAAGAGCAGGAGCTTCTTAAAGAGAAAGAGGCCTAATTTTAAGGCTTTAAATTAGACAAAATGTGTTTTTAGTCATATTTGATGAACTCAGCATTTTTATAACAAGGGAAGATAACAGTTTCTTGATTGTGCTATGTTAAATAACTGCTGCTTTAACATGCACAATGCTGCCCCTTTAAATTTGAGTTGGTGAAACCTGAAGAAAGCCCGAGAAAATTTTCTTTATGCCATTTAATATTTTTAAAAACCCTAATATACGGCATATTATTTACTGCCACTCCTTAAGCCGTCTCTGTGTTCTCTCATATCCGCTCCTCCCTCATCTCCCGGCTGATCCCCGTTTGGAGACACTACAGTTGCTTTCATGGTCCCAGCTACCCACGGCCGCCTCCTCACATCAGCTTTGTCCCAACATCCTACGTTTGTAGTCTGCATCCGCGTAGATCCGATGCATGTATAAATGCACACGCGTGTTCTAATATGCTTGACAGGGTGACTCACAGCTGTTACGTCACATTCTTAAAATAGCAGAGCCAGAGGGTGGGGTGACAAGCATGGGGCAGCAACACTTGCTGTGTGTGTGTGTGTGTGTGTGTGTGTGTGTGTGTGTGTGTGTGTGTGTGTGTGTGTGTGTGTGTGTGTGTGTGTGTGTGTGTGTGTGTGTGTGTGTGTGTGTGTGTGTGTGTGTGTGTGTGTGTGTGTGTGTGTGTAAGGAAAGGGTAAGGACTTCCTCTCTGGCCCAGAATGTACAATAGCTTCTGAAGAGGTCAGGGTTGTGAGTGGAGAGACACATAATGATGCTGTTTGGAGTCCAGGAGGAGAGAGAAGGAGATATTCAGGCTAGAGGCAATATTTGTTCTGTTCAGTTGCACTTTAACCCAGATTTGTGAATACATATACATATACTGTTGACAGAACACAGAGGCTCTTCTGCTTTGCCTTCATTTCATGGCGTTGTTGTTTCACCCTTGTCTCAAATGCATGCAATTAGAAGGGCCTTCTACTTTGCAGAGTGTGTGAATGTACAAATGCTGTGTTACTTTCAGTTTTGTGTGAAACTCAGCTCATGTGTGAAAGCTTTAGTGTCACCAGAGATGGGTTTATTATATTTGAAGCAACCCTCTTGGGTATCATGAGTCTGGGAGTGAAATATAGCTTTATCACTTGCCATATTACGCCTGAAGGATTATAGGATAACCAAAATACTTTGGAAAGGTTTGCAAGCATTATGCTAGTGTTTTTTTTTAATGAGTGTCTGTGGTCACACAGTCCAGAATCACAAAAAAAATAAAATAAAATGTTTATTACAGTAGATTTTCACTCCCTTTTCTGAGATTTCTCAGAAATCGAACTCTGATTTTTCATTTTGGTAAACTAGCGAAACTGAGTTTAAAAAGTTTAAAACTCAATCCCTATATTAAGAACAATACTTGAGACCATTTTTGGTACAATGGAAACAATTTTGGAAGGTACGAGGTTCTACCTTGTCAAGATCAAAATCTGTGATCAAGACTCTGGACTTGGTCTGAAAATTATAACTAGAAATGCAAACAATTAATTGACTTACAATTTATTGCCAATTAATAGTTTATTAGATTAAAGTAGGAGGTAATTAACTAAGAACATTCGCTTAGACCTTCTTTTAGTGTTGTAGTTTGGCCCCCATCCATCAGAAGGCATCCCTGGTCATCCTTAAACAGAGTCAATTAATAGAGAAACAAAGATGGCGGGTGCATCCCAGAACAGGACAGGGAAACAGTCCAAACAGACTCCGGTGTGGGATGCAAAATGCTCTTTATGTGGTTCTGCTTTGAAATTTAAACACTCGACTAGTTCCTTAAATTTAGTTTCAACTTAGTAGCGCTCGTTCAACTGAGCCGCATGACAGAGCAGCGCCAACTTCTCATTGAAAAATGACTGTGAATGCAAGAACGGTGTGATAGAAATGGAAAGGGTAACTCAGAAAAATTATAACCTGATTGCCAAAGACATGACGCCAAAAAGCACGGTTGATTTTGTTCCTGTTTTATTATGTTTTAGCTGGAGAATAAGCACCAGCACCTCCTGACCCCACTGGGGACAAGAGTGTAAGAGGATGGATGGATGGGAGGAAAGAAAATGTAGCCCTTGATAGTGTGAAAAGATGATCGGTCCATTTGATGCAAGAGTAAAAATGTCTGCTTATCAATTAGTCATTATAGTCTATCAATAAGATCAATTAACTTTAGTTTAAGTCGTTCATCGATAACTTGCATCCCTAATTTGAAGACATCTAAACGTTGACTATTTGGAAATTTTATTATCTTGGGGAACATTTAACCAAAATAAGATTAAAGAAATAATCCTATTTTGAATCTGGCAGAAAGAGCTGAAGATGATGGCACCAATGCATCTGAGCGAGAGCAGAGAATGACTAATAGACAACGCCTCAGTCAATGTGCTTTAACACATCGACAAAACGCTCTAATCTTTTCACAATCTAGTTTTGTCTTACTGCCCACTCTGATGTCAAACTTGTAATATTAAGTTTTCTTGGGAATAGACCTGAGACTGCTGTTTGGCAATACAATGTGGATTAACTGTGGTTATTGCTAAAGACAGTTGTAATTATAAAGTCTGTTTCTTTTTATTTATTTTTACAATAATAGTAAATCCGTTTATGAAAGCCGTTTCCTCCAATAATCTAAAAACATAAGTGATTGACCACCGTCAGCGGGAAAGTAATTTTTCAGTTGTGCTTTTACATTTTCTTGTAGCAAAATCTGACCTGCCAAAACATTGAACTCTAGTCCGTTTGCCTGGAAAGTTTGGGGAGGTGTGAATCCGCAATCCCAAAAAAATCCAGGGGGGAAAAAAACTGATAAGTCTCTCACTAACTGGTCTTTTACCAAAGACAAAGAGAAATCCTACAACTGCTAAAAGCTGACAACACTCGAATTTTGTTTTCATTTCATGAAGAAGGAAGTTGATATTACTTTTGTTTTGCTGTCGTTTCCTTTAGTAGCTCTTGGTGAAGCGACACCACAGGCGAAGAGGGAAATGCCCTTTTCAATTAGTTTGGTTCGTTTGACGCAATGCGCTGTGAACGCAAACCACAACATCGGAAAATGTTACAAATGTAACATTTTGTGGTCCTCAATAGTAAGGAGTCCACCGAACAATCAGTAAAATATAAAAATGAGTGTTTGTCACTAATAGAAAAGGTTGTTACAGTCTGAGTGAGCTTCTTTCCATCTCTTTCTGCAGTACTTGGGGCATGTGGAAGTGGAGGAATCGAGAGGCATGCACATCTGTGAGGACGCAGTGAAGCGGCTTAAGACGGTAGGTATTACAACACGACCTCTCTGTACCTCCAGGAATGTGGCTACTAAGCACCAGATATTCCATCTTCTCTCTTTTACTCTCTACTCAAACTCTTTCACCTTTTATGGCAGCTCTCTCTCTCTCCTATCAGTGTGTGTGTTCTTCCATTGTTTTATCTTGCTTACTTTTTCCCCCTATCCTGAAGAGGTTGAATTAGGTTCTCCACCCTTGCCTGCCGGCCGGCCCTTAAGCACTCCTCCTCCTCCCGTCCTCTCGATACGCTCGGTCTCGGCCGGAGCAGCGAGGTCGGCGTGTACTTCCTGCTCCCGTAGGACCCGGCAGAGTTGCGCAAAAAAAGGGAACAAATTCCAGAGAGGAGGGGGAAGAGGGAAGCAATTTCTTTTGCATGTCGTCAGTTGTTTGCCAGAGCTCCACCCAGGTCATAAACTCCCAGCCGGTGGATGAGACTGATTCTCTGAAGTCAGGGCCAAACCTGAGTTGGCAGGTTTGGCGGAGCTCTCCGTCTCTGTCTGCGCGATCGGGTCCCACCTAGACGCATTAACGGATTGCGTCTGAGTTTAAGCACCGGCCGGGAAAACTTTTTCGCCACATGTGCCGTCAAAGTTTCGGTTTTAGACTATACATTATCTGAAGCTCACTTCAGATAATGTATCCCTGTCATCTAGTTTGCTCCCCATCAGACTTAATTTATCCTGCAGCTGCGTGAAGAGTCTTTGAGTCCTGCTGCATTTTCTACTCAAGCTGCTGAAGACTTACTTGATCCTTGCCTCTTTTGCTAGTGCAATCACACTGATGATCGTGTTCATTCAGCAAACTGCCAAACACCAAGCATTCTCAGTCTATTCAAATTAAATAGATACGAGTTAAACATGCATGTAAAAGCAACCTTTATTAACATTTAAGCACCATTCTTCTTAAACTAAAGTTTAGTCAGCACCTCAAACTTGACGTCAGTGGCGTCACTAGATCTATTTTAGGGGGTCTAAAACCCCTTAAATATTCTAAAGCCTTGCTAAATAATTAGATTTTTTCTTTGTTGTTGTTATTATTGGTTTCTTTTGTTTTTGTTTTTACAAATAATACAGATAATGTGACCATTTAGTGAGTTTAAATAATCATAAAATATCAGTTTTAACAAAATATTAGGCTGAATACTCCATAAATGTTCTCAACCCCCACTAAATAACTTGGTGGTTTTTGTTATTATTAACAAAAAGAAAGCAACATAATGTCACCGGAATGAGTTTAAGTAATTACATAGAATATCATTGTAACCGATGGCCCAGACTATTGTAACTCAAAATGTGATCATATTTTGAGTTACAATAGTCTGGGCCATCGGTGTATCACCACAGGAAAATTATATTTATCTTAGCAACATTTGTTCGGAAGTTATCTCATTACATTGATTAACTGTTTGCAGTCTTTTTTTTTTAGAAATAGAGGTTTCTTTTACCCTTAACATTATTTCAAACATGGAACAGCAACTTCTCCATTTTCATTGCTTTCATGTTTGCTCACATCCTCTGTGTCTTCTCAGTGCTGGTCATTGGCAACAAATAAACACACTACTAAGAGTTGCTGAATTTCTCTTTTGTTTTTTTACAAGACTAATTTATAGATCACCTACTTCATTGGGCATTCCTCCAAATATGGAGATGCACCATATATTATAATTTTTTTCTCTTAAAGTTCCACTTGCAAAGTAATATTTGAAAGAAAAAAATCTCTAAATTAGATTCATTTTATTATAAGTATACAGTCACCAATCATTAATTACAATCATGCCTAAAATCACCTCTAACAAATGTAGGTTTACAGTAGTCATTTAATTTTACCAACATGTTATTGCTGACAGGAAGTACTATTGATGTTTAGGAATGAACCTGCGAAACTCCAGACTTGAATCTGATTAGCCTGTTTGTTTGCTCATCAAAATTATAATGGATAAATTTCATCTACACCTGATTTATTTATTTATTACATTTTTATTCCTTTTAAATCGCTCTTAGATGGGTCATCCTCACTCCGTCTCCTTATGCCAGACGGTTTTGTTAAAGCACGGCTGTCAGACCAAGGCCAGCCTTGAACAAATACAATTAGCAAATCCTTCCACGTCTTCACTAAGTCTTTAATAAACTGACTGTTACCAGGCGACACACGCAGTCGCTGCATTTCCTCTGAACTAACATTAACGTCGGACAGGAAGCTGGCTTCTGAACCTGAGCCTTGCTCGGTCCTAAACTTGCAGCTTGAAGCAGGCCGAGGCGAGCAGCAGGATCGCCTTCATTCAGGCTGCTTCACCGCTTCCAGTGAGGAAGAACAGTAGCGGTGAACCGAAGCACGCATGAATAAGTAGAAGTCGAAGCTGGAGTGGATGTGCCCGAGCGTTGAACCGAGCTGGAAGGAGTTGGCCGGGGAGCTGTCAGCTTGGCGATGTCGTCAGCAGCGTTCGGGAGCGTAATAAGGAGTTTTCTCACAGCTCTGTGATCCGTGACTCAGAGGGGAGGAGGAGGAGGAGGAGATGGAGATGGGGGCTGCACTGCGGCACCATCAACCTCCAAGCTGCCCTCTTCTGCTGTCATTATGACATCACTTCCTTTTGTTTGCCGACTGGGGCTGTGAGTTTTATCAGTTACTCAGCTCACAGTGACATGGATTTTGTTTTTCTTCCTTTTTGTCTGTGTGTGCTGCTGGGTGTACACCTTGAAGATGCTGACATGGTGAAAGATTCTTTCTAGTCATTCAGTCAGTAAATCAAGGTCTATGCGCTTTCAATGAAAAGTCCGCCATTTCTGAATTGAATGCTAAATTTGAAGAGGTCCTCGTCTGCTTTGATGTTAAAACATGTCCTGTGGTCAGGAACTCTGTCTTGTATGTTTGATTTCTACTGCTTGAGCAAAATTTTGTAAAGCGTGAAACGGTTTCACAAAGATCTTGCACAACAGGTGTTCAGCGGTTCTGTGTGTCCTGTCAGGGTTTGCGACTCTTCAGATGGGAGAAAGTCTCTTACTCAGCAATAGACCCGATCTGGGATGATAACCTTCCATAAAACCTTCAAACATTCGAAACTGAAAAGTAGCAATTATTTCTACTGCTGCCAACATAACAAGCGTTGATTACCACAGTTGTGACATTACAAATAAAATGCATTAGCTTTTGTAAGCCAACCTTCTGTGCACCTGTCAGAGTTGACCTACAGTAGATTGACTTTGGTGTTAGCCTGCTTTGTTCAAGCATTATTGTGATTCATATCATTGATGTGTATTGGATGAATTTCTCTTTCCTGTAGACTATTAAAAAGTGCAGCCAGCTGACCAACAGTGTGCAGCCACACTACCTAAAACTTTGCTTCACTTTACTGGTAAACGGCCCACACTTGTTCACCAGGTGGTTTTGTAAATCAATGTCTACAAAGTGGCTTTTCTGTCTAGATCATCTAATTTTTTTCAGACTTTGTTGACTCATTGTGACCTTTTTAAAAGTTTCTTCTCTCTTCCGCTTGGAAATGTTTTTGCTTATGATGGATTTATGAATGCTGATAAATGACCTTTTTCCGTGTGTTATACTTTCTGTCCTTTTCAAGCAGGTTTAAATTGCAGAGAAATGCCTCCAGATCCAACTTCCTCCTTTTCTCGAGATGTAGCGCTCTCTTTGTTCTAAACTCTGTTCCCCTAACCATATCCTACTAATACATTCACTGCTCGTCTTTGTGGCTCCCACAGAAACACCACATGCACTAGCAAGAGCTCAACTCACAACCAAATGCACGTCCATTTCTGGTTGACACGTTTAATCATGCGTCAACGTGAGCCGTCTGCACCGCGGCAGTGTAACAGGAGCCAAACGGCACTCCTTTTCAGAGTTTTGTGGGACGGAGAACAGCTCGCCGCAAGCATGTGAACGCAGAGAAGGGATTAAGGTCTGGTCTGGTTGGAGTGTTTGTTTTTTTTTTTTTCTTGTTTAAAGTGGTTGCTGCAGTTTGAACCCGAACCGCCTGACTCAGCAAACAGTCACAGGCTTGATCCAGAGGTCAGTCTTCCGTCTGCTGCAGTCTGTTTCTGTCTGCTGAACAACCGCAGACGGATCGGATCTGTGTCTGAGCATCAGAGGAGAAAGAACAAAAATTGGACTTGAGGTTATCTTTTCCCAACAGGCTAAGAGGTAGAGATGGATGACATGGGCTGCTGACAGGAATATGTTGTTTTTCCAGCTTGACAGGCTCTGACCAGAATTATTTGACAATGTTTTGTTTTTTATCTGTGTTTTAAGATCTTTCGCTTAAATGCGGTTTTAGAATCGTTTAGATATACTTTGGTTTTGTGGGGAACCTCAAGATCCCATTGATGATCATTAATAAACCCCCATTGGGGGTCTTTACCCCAACTTTGGAAACCAGAACTTTAGGAAATACATTCATTTCTGGGTATATTTAGTAAAGCTAAACATACCAAATTTCTAATATAACATGCTACGTTAAGTTCAAACTGTACACTCTACAACTGCATTCTTTTTAAAATAATGAGTCTTTTCAATGTGGAAGCTGAATCTACATTAAAGTTAGCTCTTTTCCCCCCACATTGAGTAAGACATTTCCAAATAAAATCAGATAAACATAAAAATGTATGAAGCAATTTTACTGTAAACTGTATTTATGTGACAGGTCGGCGGGTTATTCAGATTTTTGGCCGATCCCAACTATTTTTCTTTTTCTCTGGTTAAGTTGCTAAAGACTGTTTAAAATGTAGGTTGTCTTTGTTTTCACAATAGTAAAACTGTGTTTTAAAGCTCTCACCCAAAGAGTACGTCTTCTCTCATACCAATATAAATATGTTTTAAAAAACCACCAGCAAGCTATCTGTTTCCGTACTAAGTGGTGTCACTTCCTGCTGTCAGAAGGGTTCTGCGGTGAGCATTAACTCTTTTCGGGATTTTCCTTCACGGTTCTACTAACTCCAACAAAGTGTCCCTCTTCCACCCCACTCCCCCCCCCCTCAGTCCATCCATCCATAACTCTGAAGTGAATTTATGTGGCGCTAACTGAATAAAAGCATCACTCACCTCACTCATAACCCCAGCTTCAACTTCACCAAACCAAACAAGCTTCGAATCAAACCCCCTCAAAGCCCTCTAGTCAATTCTTAGACGACTTAGGTAACATTTTCATGCCTTGTTCTCCCCCCGACCCCCGTCTCCTCCAACCCTCTCACCCACCCTCCACCCTTTTTTTTTTATCCACATCCACTTCCAGGACAGGAAATTCTTCAAAGGATTCTTTGTGAAAGTAAGTTATTGCTTTGTGACTCTGAGTGTTTTTTTTTCCTCCTTTCCTTCTCACTAGCTTTATCATTTTCTCACACTTCACTCTTTGATCACACCTGATGGCTGGAAGAAGCACATGGACACATGGGGGAGCTGAGGGGTGGACAAACAACGATGCATGTTTCTGAGCAGGTGGGGTGGTTTAGGCTGGGGAGGGGCATCTTTAAGTCACCCATGTGTTTGTGTTTTTGGTATTAACAAGCGTGCCTTCTCTACCTTCAGCCCTTCTCCCATGAAGCAGCAATGGAACAGCGGATATTTCCCTTTTCATTGTTGCTGTTCTAACCAATGGGGTCATCACTACCTGCTGCATCAATCCACAGAATCTCGCACCAATCCCTCTTTGGTTTCTTGATCAAATTTATTTCATCCTGTGTGGCACAGATCTTTGAAAACACCTCTTGACTTTTTTTTTTTGTTTTGTTTTTTTTGTTTTGTTTTGTTTTTTTTTTTTTGCCTTTCTCACTAGTTGCTATCTCTTTTATTCACAGGTGTACTCTGTTTGTGTGCGTGTGTGTTTGTCCTAATATTTTTTATGAATAGGTGCAGAGGATTGTATTAAAAAAAACTAATCCTGTGGGATGTTGGAGAAGCTCTTGTTTTGTAACCCATTGCTTTGTGTGTGTGGGTGTGTGTGTGTTTGCAGGCTGGGAAGAAGGCAGTGCGAGCTGTGTTGTGGGTGTCGGCTGATGGTCTTCGTGTTGTTGATGACAAAACAAAGGTAAGCCAATAGAAAACCTCATAGGAGAAGCCTGGAGAAGCAACTCGAGACTTAATTCCACTCAAACAAAATCTCTGCCAAGGCTTCAAAAATTGCTGTTAACCAATGCTCTTCTTCCATATAAAGAAGAATCTGTAAACATTAAGGTACAAAACCTCCAAGAGACGAACCCTCCAAAAGACGCTGCAGCTGTAATCGCAGTGGGACGTTTTTCTGGATTTTACTGGCTCTGAGGGACTGAATACAAATCCACACTTTTCAAAAGATTTAGCAAAATGCTTTAAGGCCGTATATAATTTCACTGAAATCAATTCTGAAATTCATGTATGTAAAATCAAGGCCTGGAATTGTCTTACATTCATTTTAAAAAGTGCTAGTTGGCCTTAAATGTGTTAATCATAGGGCTGCATTTTGTTGTAGCCATTTAATTTCTTATATTTTATGTAGTTTGTTTTTCTCATGGGACTTTTTCTGTCAAGCTAAAGTTTGAGACATATTTATTGCGTTCTGTGACTCGAGGCGGTTGAGGTTACCAGGTTACCCTGTGAAAGCTAGCTAGCTATTGTTTACATCTGTTATGGGTAAGTGTCAATTTATTATCTTTTGTACATTTCTGTCAATATACAGGTCTTAAATTTTATTCATATTGATCTTAAAATGTATCAAATTTGATTTGGTGAAACTTTCAAAAACCCTATTAATTGTATTCTGTGTTTTGGTTTGTCACATAAAGCTTTGGTGAAATATAGGAATATCTGACATTTAAATGCTGTGGAAAAAGTTCAATATTTTTTAAGCTGGTCATCTTGTATAGAGTCATTACTTAATCTGGATCAGTAGGTTACAGAACCAGATTTTAGACGAGACTGATCAGCTTAGTTGGTCTTATGCAATGTTTACATTTTCTGAAGCACTGAGTTTTGTGTTTTCCTTACCTGTAAGCCGTAATCATCAAAACGGCAAGAGATAAAATCTTGAAATATATAACTCAATGTGTAATGCAAATGTGTTTTATGACTTTTGCCTTTTTCCTAATTTTCACATTTCTTTGAGGTGTAAACAAAACTTCCTTGTAAGTGGTAAAGTAACAAAATGTGAAAACATTCTAGGTGTATGTTTATGCTGTAAATATTGAATACACTGACTGTATCTATTAATTACAATAATAATTTTTAAAAAAATCTATGGTGAAAAGGCTCAATTGACCTCCAAAATGCCCTTTTTTGTCATTATGTACCCTGTGAACCTTTGTGTGGTACTAATGACTTGTTTATGTGGAATTAAATAAGAAGTCATACTGACACCTGCTGGAAGTATCTGGTAAAGACATTAAAAAATATCCTAGTTTTTTGGGCTCAGCTGTCTGAGTTGGGTATATAACTATATATTTGAGGGGACAATGTGAATGAAAGAATAAAAAGATAAAAATAAACTATATGCAATTTATAAAAACATGTATTATAGTTACAGTTAATCACAATTTTGACAGCTGTTGACATTGCTGGTCCAATTTGGTTTTTCAGAGAAACTGGAGTACTTGTAGTTGATCTTTCAAACATGTCAGGTATTAATAGGCATGTTTAATTTAAGATGTGTATTTTGCCTATATGTTTTTGTTTTGGAATTAGAAATAGTTGATGAGATGTAGTTGGATGAGAAAACACCGACTTAAAGACCAAAAAGAGCTCACGTTTTGATGTTGCTCCATTTCCCAGCTCTCAGCTTTGACCGTGCTAACGATAGAAACTGCTTTCCGCAGGACCTGATCCTGGATCAGACAATAGAGAAGGTTTCGTTCTGCGCTCCCGACAGGAACTTTGAGAGGGCGTTCTCTTACATCTGCAGGGACGGCACCACGCGACGCTGGATCTGCCACTGTTTCATGGCCATTAAAGACTCAGTAAGAACCAGCTCAGTTACGGCTGATGCTGTGCTTCACAGGAAGGCCTGCTCAAACGTCTATTCTCTGAGAGTTTGAGCCGTCGCCTTCAGAAATAAACGACGCGTGTTTCTGACTTTTTGCGGTGAGAATCTTCATCCTTTGTGTCGTCCCTGACAGGGAGAGCGACTCAGCCACGCTGTGGGCTGCGCGTTCGCTGCTTGTCTGGAGCGAAAACAGAAGCGGGAGAAGGAGTGCGGCGTCACGGCAACCTTTGATGCTAACAGAACCACTTTTACTCGGGAAGGCTCATTTCGTGTTACCACAGCAACGGAGGCTGCAGAGAGGGAAGAAGTCATGAGACAATTGCAGGATGCTAAGAAAGGTGCGTACTTTAATTTACTTTGGAGAGTTAGATTTTCAAACTCGTTATGAGTCTCTTAGTAGTTGGTGTGAGAGCTGTGTTGCTAGTTTTACTGTATCTTTCTGTCTCTATCTTCCTGTAGCTGCCTCTTTTTGTCTTTTTCTTTCTGTTCCTTTCTCTTTTGGTCTTTCTTTTCATTTCTTTATATCTGTCATTATGCCACTACTTTTTTTCTGTCTTTTAGGACACAAACTTACAAAAAACTTAGCATTGTAAACGTGTTCTTATACTCAGTTACATTCACTCATGCACTCACCATTCAAACCTGCATTTATTTAGTTCTAAAAATATCCAAAACCCTTTAGATTAAGACAGAGAAAAAAATCACTAGATAATATGTAAATAGAAACTGTAGTTAAGACATCCATCCAATACACCCATTAAGAAGCTCCGCCTTCAGACCCTATAATCCTCATATATGGCTCCCAGAGGTTCTCAAAGTCCCGTTGTTTACCCTTGGCGGTGTATGTTAGTTTTTCCAGTCTGAATGAATTTGCAATTTCTTTCTTCCAGAGTCCCAGGGAGGGACGTCCATGCTCCTCTAGTATAATGCAATAGATCTTCTGGCTTGAAGTTATCTGTAATCTATCAATTTAGTTTTAATCTGTGACCGTTTAAATTCCACTGGGTGCTAGAACACAGATTTTAACCTCTAATGGCACTTACACCTTAAACAATTCAGATAGACACCGAATAACATCCTTCCAAAACTTCTGGATTTCAAGACATTCCCAACTTTATGGATTCATAAAGTTGATTTCAATAGCAGCCTCTTGAAATAGCAGCCTCTTGAAAATAATAACTTGCCAGAAACTTTCCTCCGAGCTGTACCACCTGTAAAAGTCTCAGCTCTTCAGCAGGTTGTTGCCTCATTGTCTCCTTCTCTTTACCAGCAGAGTCAGACGTGACTGTTGTCGGGAACTCTGCCAACAGCGTGACAAACTCCTCGGTGCTCCAGCCAGGAAGCTCCCCGTCCCCCTCGTCCTCTCCGCCTCTCTCTGTAGCGGCGCTGGGGCCTCAGGTGATACCCCGCAGACACGCGCCGGCCGAGGCCCTCGCCCGCCAGGGCTCCTTCAGGGGCTTTCCGGCCCTCAGCCAGAAGACCTCCCCCTTTAAACGCCAGCTATCGCTACGCATGAACGAGCTGCCCTCCACCATGCAGCGAAAATCTGACTTCCCTATTAAAAACACAGGTGATGATTTAAATCACATTACTGAATGACCTTAGTGTTATAAAGTCTGTGCATTGTTTCTATATAGTGTTGGGTAAAAGGATTCGCTATGGAGCAAAGATACTTTAAAGCCTTTGAAAGTCCTGAAACGACTGGAATACACTGACTGATTAAGCTTATTAGTGGTTGGGAATTTAATTTGTAGCCTAAGATTTCTGGTTTCTCTGAGGTTTTAGTAGCAGGTCTTCAAAATGGGAAAGACATGAAAACATTGCTGTGAAGTAAGGCAGCTATGGGTCGGACTGCATCAGGAGAATTCCTACAAGTTACTGAAATATGAAAATTTGACCTCAACTCCAGTGAGGGCAATAATTACATTTCATCTTTGCCATCATGCACTCAGTGGGGGAAATGTTAGTGAAGTTAAAAAGCGTGCCATATTGAGGTCACCACGTCTCCACAGCAACTATCCCAATTTACAGGGAGGTATGGAGAAAAGGTAGAAAACGGCATCATGAACTCCTGGAGATTTTGATGAATAACTTCATTAATTCCTGTTATTCAATTAAGAAGGACTCGCTATACTACAAAGAATTATGTATTTACTAGCTTCTGATTTACATTTGAATAATAAATATCCGTCTTTTTGTTATTTTTTTTTTTAAGAATAGGGAAACAGTTGATCAGTATACAGTTAGGGCCAGAAATATTTGGACAGTAACACAATATTTGTGAGTTGGGCTCTGCATGCCACCGCATTGGATTTGAAATGAAACCGCTACAACAGAATTCAAGTGCAGATTGTAACGTTTAATTTAAAGGGTTGAACAAAAATATCTGATAGAAATGTAGGAATTGTACACATTTGTTTACAAACACTCCACATTTTAGGAGCTCAAAAGTAATTGGACATATAAACATAACCCAAACAAAAAAGTTTTTTCTCAATATTTTGTTGCGAATCCTTTGGAGGCAATCACTGCCTTAAGTCTGGAACCCATGGACATCACCAAACGCTGGGTTTCCTCCTTCTTAATGCTTTGCCAGGCCTTTACAGCCACAGCCTTCAGGTCTTGCTTGTTAGTGGGTCTTTCCGTCTGAAGTCTGGATTTGAGCAAGTGAAATGCATGCTCAATTGGGTTAAGATCTGGTGATTGACTTGGCCATTGCAGAATATTCCACCTTTTTGCTCTCATGAACTCCTGGGTAGCTTTGGCTGTATGCTTGGGGTCATTATCCATCTGTACTGTGAAGCGCCGTCCGATCAACTTTGCAGCATTTGGCTGAATCTGGGCTGACAGTATATCCCGGTACACTTCAGAATTCATCCGGATACTCTTGTCTGCTGTTATGTCATCAATAAACACAAGTGACCCAGTGCCATTGAAAGCCATGCATGCCCATGCCATCACGTTGCCTCCACCATGTTTTACAGAGGATGTGGTGTGCCTTGGATCATGTGCCGTTCCCTTTCTTCTCCAAACTTTTTTCTTCCCATCATTCTGGTACAGGTTGATCTTTGTCTCATCTGTCCATAGAATACTTTTCCAGAACTGGGCTGGCTTCTTGAGGTGTTTTGGGCAAATTTAACTCTGGCCTGTCTATTTTTGGAATTGATGAATGGTTTGCATCTACATGTGAACCCTTTGTATTTGCTTTTATGGAGTCTTCTCTTTACTGTTGACTTAGAGACAGATACACCTACTTCCCTGAGAGTGTTCTGGACCTCAGTTGATGTTGTGAACGGTTCTTCTTCACCAAAGAAAGTATGCGGCGATCATCCACCACTGTTGTCTTCCGTGGACGCCCAGGCCTTTTTGAGTTCCCAAGCTCACCAGTCAATTCCTTTTTCCTCAGAATGTACCAGACTGTTGATTTTGCTACTCCAAGCATGTCTGCTATCTCTCTGATGGATTTTTTCTTTTTTTCAGCTCAGGATGTTCTGCTTCACCTCAATTGAGAGCTCCTTTGACCGCATGTTGTCTGGTCACAGCAACAGCTTCCAAATGCAAAACCACACACCTGGAAACAACCCCAGACCTTTTAACTACTTACTTGATTACAGGTTAACGAGGGAAAGGCCTTTTGAGTTACTTGCAGCCTTTGGAGTCCATTGTCCAATTACTTTTGGTCCCTTGAAAAAGAGGAGGCTATGCATTACAGAGCTATGATTCCTAAACCCTTTCTTTGATGGGTGGGCTCTCATATTGCAGCTGGTAGTGTGCACTTTCAGCCCATACTATATATAAATTGTATTTCTGAACATATTTTTGTCAACAGCTAAAATAACAAAACCTGTGTCACTGTCCAAATATTTCTGGCCCTAACTGTATAATAAGTCAGGTGTCAAAATTTATGGCACATCATTAAACCCTTTTATGGATTCTTTTTATATTTAAGAAAGGACAAAAATACAGTGTTTTTATGTTCTTTATAAGCAAATACCTCCTTAAAAATTATCAATTTGAAACAAAAGCACAATTCACACCTAGACAAATGTGACATTCTTGTGTACCGGGATGAATTCTGTATTTGAACTCTCTGCATGCTCGTCCCTGCAGTCCCTGAGGTGGAAGGAGAAAACGACAGCATCAGTTCGCTGTGCACTCAGATCGCCAGTGCGTTCAGCGGGCCCCCTGAAGACCCCTTCTCTTCTGCTCCGATGCCCAAACTGGCATCCTCTCCTCAGTCCCCCGTGGCGCCAGGTAAAACCTGTTCCTGTCTGCTCTGGGGCACACACTCTGGACACACACTCCATTTTCAGTAGTTAAAATTATAAGTCAGATATAGACATTTTGTTTTGAGATCAGATTATAAACAAATTTAACTGGTTCCACACTTTTAAACTCCATTTTGCGTCTCCCTTTATATTTTAATGCCTGCCTCTCTGTTCGCTATAAAGTCTCTAACACTTGTGTTAAAGAAGCAATTAACACCTCAAGCTACCTATTAACAGCATGACAGCTTTGCACGTCTAAGGAAAGATCATCTTTCAGAGCTTGCGTCAGCGTTTTTCTCTTATTGGCTTTAGTGAATGGCACCATGCCTGCCTTCTCCATTGCTGCCACTGCCGCTGCTGCCGCCTCCAACCCCGCCGTCCTGCACCCCGCTCTGCCTACGCGAGAGACTAACCCCTGGGCCACAAACCCGCCGGGGCCCACCGCTCCAGCCCTCCCAGGTAAGCAGCTCCGCAGGGGAGACTTGAGATTTCTGTTCGCTGAGAGTGAAGTCCACGTCTGTCCTGGGTGTTTCGTTTCGTCACTCTTTTGATTTTGGAAAAAAAAAAAAAAATTTAAAAAGCGCCCTTTTTCTTAGTTTCACAAAAAGGTTTGTTTTTTTCAACACTCGCTTGAATCATCTCAGTCACTGGACAGTCTGTGCCTTACCAGAGGCATGAAACGGGAAATCGATCAAGTTTATTCTTATAGCATGCTTCAGCAACAGGGCAGTTTAGAGTGCTTTACCTCATGAACACACAAAAACATCATAAACATGACTTGCAGTCAACAACTGTGAAAGCCAGTACCAGGCGTTACATTTTGTCAAGTCCAACTGGGAGGTCTGGCTGTCAGCCTGGAATGACCGCCTGGAGGCACTCCAAGCTGGGATTGGAGGGATGGAGTGCTCCCATCCTCTGGTGGCGGTGGTAGACTAAAAAACAAACAAAAAAACACTTTTTTTTTTCTTTTTTGACAAATTTTAAATGTTTGCTCAATATTTGCATGACAGTTAGATGGAAACACAGCTACTGAATAGGATTGTTAAGTAGAGCGCGGCTTAAACACCAATATTAGGATATTTAGTGAGGGAAAAAAAGCTTCTGAGTTCAAACATTTCAAGTGTCTTTCACTTCTTAAACTCTTTTGCATTTTCCTCAAACATAAATAGATTTGGAGGTTTTTAGATAAGCCACGTGCATAATTGTGAAATGGCTGGAAAATTGTGCATGGCTTTGAAAAATTTAAAAATAGAAAATTTGGCATTCATCCATATTCAGACCCCTTTAATTTGATACCAGTAAATATATTCCAGTGCAACCAATTGCCTTTTTATTTCTCTGGAGTTTTACTGCAGCATGGTGTCCTATTGTCGCACACCAAATGGTAAGAAGTTTGGATCAGGACAAAAACCAGCTGTGGTGTTCTCTATCAGCTCAGTTACTTGAAAATAACATCCAAGTGCCTTCAGAATATATTTATAGACAACGGAGTTCAGGTCAGATGAAACCAGAGCAAAACTTTTCATGGTCTTTATGGAAAACACTTTATTTGGTGGAAACCTAACATTTAAACATGGATGAAGGCAAATGCAGGGAGAGAACACAATTTCAAAAACCAAGTATCATTTTCTTCACATTTTTGCACTAATTGGTGTTGCTTTATTAAAGGGGCAGTATTATGTACAATTGACTTCATTGAGCTTTTAATAATGTTACGATGTTATCCCCTTATCAAAAACAGATCTGAAGTGTTGCCTTGATTCGTTCATGCATGTTTGAGAATTTCTCTTAGTCTTCCATGGGAACCATTCAGGTGTGCAAAGTACCTGAGGGAACCGACACACAGGTCCTCCTTAGAGCTGCAGTCTCCCAGCTTCAGTTCTTCCATCTCTCAGAGCAGCCCTCCCCCTGCACCTCCAACACTGAGCTCCTTCAGACTAGCCAGCAGCAATTAGCAAACACCTGGTGGAACTGTTCACCTGTGGAGTTCATTATAGGACCAACTGCTCAGTGTAACGCTGGCAAACCTTTTGTTAAAAGGTTAATAGAGCAGCCATGTTGTGATGACTTCCTGAAGGCGGAGATTCAGAAAGAGCAGGAGTTTTTAAAGAGACAGAGGCCCAATTTTAAGGTGTTAAATTCTGAAGTTAATTTTGTTTCAAGTCATATTTGATATATAAAGCGTTTTGATAATGACTGAAAGAAACAACTATCCCCCACAAACCCTTTCTCCACCGACTGTGCCTGAAAAATACATTATATTGCCTCTTTAGATAAAAGAAATTATCCAGTGACAGAATTTGGAAAAACATCATGTGGTCAAGCTCTATTGCAGGGCATTGTTGATGTGCTAGAATCATCTTTGTCTCTTTTTTTTGTTTCTTCTTTCTTACATCAGGAGGAGATTGGACATCAGCGACGCCAGCGATGGTAGGCCCTCCCACTGCCTCTCCAGTCATGTCCGCCCACAAACGCACGCCATCAGAAGCCGACCGCTGGTTGGAAGAAGTCACCAAATCAGTCCGCGCGCCGCAGTCTAAACCGATCTCAGCAGGAGGCACGCCTCCCCCACAGCCATTCGCTGCCCCGGTGCATATGCCCATGGCTCCAGTCCCCGTCGTTCCCGCAGTGCCCTTTATGCCTTCCTTGCCCCCTTCCGTCCCCTTGGTGCCTCCCCGCCAAACTGCTTTCCAACCCCCAGCGGTGGCCTCTTACCCGGTATCCAACGGTCTGCCGTTCCCCCAGCCCAGCGTTCCAATGTTTGGCATAACTCCCTCGCAGATGGTGGCCAATGTGTTTGGCTCCGCCACCCAGCCACAGCCGTTTCCCATCCCGGCCGCCGCTGCCGCCATGCCACAGACTGGTGACGCTCAGGCCGTCAATAACATCTCCCCATACGCCAAACCCCCGGCACCCACCGAGGTTCACATCCAGCCCCCGAACGGCAGGGCCGCCTTCAACGGCGCCGACGGCTGGGCGGCCTCGTCTTCACAGTATGGCCAGCCTGCACCGGCACCGCAAGAAGACGCGTTCGAAGCCCAGTGGGCGGCGCTGGAGAACCGCCCGCACCAGCGCACCTCCCCGTCCCCCACAAACCCTTTCTCCACCGAGCTGCACAAGACTTTTGAGATCCAACTGTGAATGCAGTGCCATCAGAAAGCACCAGGTAGCTGGGGACGGACTCGACGAAGTCACCCCACCCCTTCCTGCTGACGTTTCATTGGACACCCACTGCAGGGGTGGTCGGGGCGAAAAAGCAAAACAAACCCTGTGCAGCGTCAACGGGGGAAAAAAAAAAAGTAAAACAAAACAGGTTGTTGTGAAGACATTCACGGCTCCTCAGGCATTTTCTTTGTATTATCTGTATTGTTTTGTTTGTGCTTGTGGAGCGCAAGGTTATCATTACCCTGTGGAGCGCAACTCTCTTCTGCCAGCTAGCTTTGCTCACCGAGGCCCTCTGCTGGCAGGCGAGCGACGCAGCACTGAGAGAACTCAACTTCCAGATGAGAAATCCTCCATAAAAGCCACCCAATCAGAAGACGAGAGCCACACAATGCCAAAATCTTTATTTTTATGCATCAAGTATATTTGAAATAGCTTTGGAATCTAACAGAAGAGTTGTAAGTAATCTTGCCAAAGGCACGGGATAGTTACAATGTTCATGTGTACAAGAAAAGATCATGTATATTATACATAAATATATATATATATATATCTAAAGAATCTATACTGTACACAAAGCTCACAGCAGTGCAAATTTTTAATGTGATGTAAAGAGATTTTTTTGTGAAGGGATAGCTGCTTTTTTGAGTGTGCATTTTTCCCCTAATTTTTAACAAAAAATCTTGATGCTGTTTGTTGCATCGCCTAACTGAATGGGGGAAAAAAAAACAATATCTCACCGTGAAATAGGGTATCTTTGCACCAACAATCAGCTTGAACTCGGCCATGGCAGTGGTGCCTATATGGTCTCTTGCTTGTCCTTAATGTTTGACGATTTGGGACAAACTAGTACCTTGTTTTGTAGCACCAATCTTGTTTTATATTATTCTTATTTAACAATCTGGTTTTACCACCTCCTGCTGGGGGATTTTTTTTAAGAAGTTGATTTTTTTTTTAGTTTTGTTTTATTATTTTTTCTGCACATGCACTAAGCCAGATCATTTGTGATTAACATGGGCTGGTCAATCATGATGCTGCGCTAGCTGATCCGGCCCGGTTTCCGTTAGCATGCTGTTAGCTCTGACGGGCAGCAGAACCCCCACTGGGAGGAAAAGATTTTTTTTTTCCATCCGCTCTATTTGATTTTCTCTTCTTTTTTCTTTTTTTTAATCAAACCTGCGAATACGATCAATTCTCTGATCTACTTTTCCATTTTGTAAGTATTTCATTTCTTTATTCCAGCTCTTTGGAGGAAAAAACTGAAGCTAATGGGGTTGAATAAATTTATGGTGATAAAAGAAAAAGCAGTCTGTGTTCCTGATTTATTCTCATTCAATGCCTGGTTAAAAGTATTTCTGCAAATGATTTTTTTTTTTTTTTTACATTTTGCCACATGATTTCTAACACAAAGTGGAGAAACAGGATACAAGCGTATTTCTTTTTTTTTTTCCACAAATAAACGTTTGAAAAGTGTGCATATGTTGCTGTGACTTTCAGTTTCCATTATGTTTTTGGCTTTTGGGACAGGTTCTACCATTTTGCTCTTCTGCAGTCTGTTTCCTAAATTTTGAACGATTTTAATTTTGAAGTTGCAATGGGAAAAAAACTAAATTCTGTAGTTAGTCCTTTTTTTCCCCCGGTGGTTCTAATCATCTTCCATACATGTTCAAATCCTGCCCTGAGAAAGTGCTGTCCTATGTTACAGCTAATGAAATTGTTCACATTTCATTTTTTATGCAATACATCTCAATGGTTCTGATGAAAGTCCGTTAATGTTTACTTAGTTTTACACTTGAGGCATAAAAATCAAGATATAACACGTTTGGCTCGAAGATAAAGACCTGGCAGCGGTTGTTTCGTTAGTCGCTCATCCATCCAGCAGGCGGCGGTAGCTGCCGCGCTGCTCCCCGTTGCAGCGACGCAGTTATAAATGCAACGCAGAAGAAATGGCTTGGCGCAGCAAACAACTTTACATGCATGTGGAAGGGGCGTCCTGCTGGCTAGAAACATAAAGGTGAGGCTGTCTTATCAATCGATTAGCCCAGCTGGCCTGTCGTGAAGCAACGCTCGCGCCGCCGCTGCCAGGCAAAGTGTCGCGAGCTGCTCTGGCTGAAGCTATTTGACTGGTTAGCTCTTATGCTAACTAGGTTAACGTATGTCGACTTGAAGGGAAAACGGCAAAACTATCAAAAGTAAACTGTAGTTTCTCTGACGTTTAACACGCGCACGCTTCAGACATGAGACCGTGTTGACTGCGCAGCTTTTCGGCACGTAGAGCGGTTGCTAGGAGGCTGCTTGTTTAGGTGTTAGCATCCGATTCAGCGCTGGAGTTAAAGGGCTATTTCACTGAAGTTAGGCACTTTAGATGAGCTCCGCTAAAACTCCACAAGCTTAGTGTGGTCTAATATAATGAAATGTTCAACATGGTTAACTATCCTTTATGACAATGTTTTATATATTTGGTGTGTAACTTAATGCGCGTCTTATCAGAATATTTAGACTACATTCGATGGAGTTTTGGACTTAATCTGTTTAAATCTTATACAAATGGCAAAAAAGATTTGTGTATGTATATATTTTTTTCATTGTCAAATGCTTGATTTAATTTGATACATTACAAAGGGGTATTTTCGTACTTTTTTTTGTTTGTTTAGCTTTTAGTCCATATGTCTGTACACTTGAAAGCAGCAGTTATCGATATGCTGCGCAGCTGAAGCAGTTCGATAAGACAAAACATGTTTAGCAATCTTCCACTCGATGTACATTTCATACACCAGCTGCTCAAAAATGGGACTTTTGTCTGGTTCTTGACTGGCACTGAACATGGTGGCAACATGTGGGATGATGATACTGCGCGATATTGCGGTGCAATAACATCGGCGAATTCTGCGATAACCGTGGTATTGTATATATTTAAAAAATCGTCAATTTCCTTTTTACTTTGAGTTCAAACATAAAGACACCAGATAAAAGGTAGTCTACATAAATTCTGGAGTTATGAAATGAGTTGCAACCATCTCAAACAGATTTAGTGGAAAAGTTGTTTTTTGCCATTCAGGGATTCAGTTGCAGTGTGGTCCTCATTTGACCTCTTCGCCTTATGTAAAACTATTTACGCTGCAATTTAAAGAAATACCTGTCGCCACACAGTGCAGTCATAGAGAGCCTCATGCATGTTTGGCTAACACTTATTGCAAACCAAGCTGTCTTTTGCGATTACGATAAATTTGCGATACATTTTGCTGCCTTCCTTTGGGTCAAATGAAGGATTTTTCTGATTGATTTTTGAGTTTTTCTGAGACGTTAAACGGTAAAGACCTGTGGGTCTTTGTTACCCCACATTCTGGGAAAAGGTTTTTTCATTTCCACATAACTGACTTTGCTGACTTTGATCCAGTTGCTCTGTGTGGAGTTTTGACGTCCGTTTTTGACCTTCGGTTTTTAAGGCTGCAATATGATGGGCAGTTTGTGAAAGGAGGACATTGTTTTCTTTCTGCAGAGATGCACCCAGTCAACTGAGAGAACGGAAACGAGAACTAAATGGGAACTCGCTGATAAGGGAGGGTAAGACTCTACAAACTGGTGTATGTTTGCTAATAGACCTGCTTACGAAACAAAACTCTGATTCTTTCTTGTCCTAGGCTCGAACTCTTCAGTCTGTTAAAAAATCAGGGAAGGTCAACATGTCTCCTCGAGGGCCTTTAACCACCGTCATAACAACCGTTGTGGGGGCAGCCTTAGGCGGGCTGCTGGTATGGCAGGTGTATCGAACGAAGCAGAAGAAGCCGTCTTCTGTCCGGGAGGCTAAGGAACCGACTGTCCCCCTGCATCCCGTCGAAAATGCTCCGGCGCACGCGGAGAGTCGACAAACCCAGCCGCCGCGCCTGGCTGTCGACGAGTTTAAAACGGCGGAGTGTCAGAACGAAAACGTGCCCCCCGCTGTCCGGATCCCGACGTGCGAGCAGCTGCTGGCGGTGAAACCGCTGACGGTGAGCTCCGAGGAGGACTGGCTGGAGACGTGGCCGCTGATGCAGAAGGAGCTGTCGGTGTTCCCGGTTCTGGGGCTCGACTGTGAATGGGTAAAGGCCCAACGCGTAAGAAATATGTTTTGCATGATTTTGACTTGATGGTAAAAAGGAAAGAAAAAATCCTCTTGATGGCACAGATAATTGTATTGCCGAAGTAGAAAGAAAGCAGATTGACGCCGATGGGATTTTTTATTTTTTTTCCCATAAATTCCTTGTTTCAAGTGGGCTTGTCTGATCTGACTCCACCCCCTTTTTTTTTTTTTAACCCCCGAAGGTGTCGGTGAAAGGCAGGACTTCGGCGGTGTCTCTGCTGCAGATGGCCACCTACTCGGGTCTGTGCGTCCTGGTGAGGCTGCTGACGTTCCGCCGCGGCCAGCAGCCGTTCCCGCTCAGCTTCGTGGAAGTTCTCAGGGATCCGCACGTTCTGAAAGTTGGAGTGGGTTGCTATGACGACGGGAAGCGTCTGACGCGCGACTACGGCCTGTCCCTGGCCGCCACCGTCGACCTGCGCCACCTCGCCTTCAGGGAAAGGTTTGTTCTGAGGCGAAGTCCTGTCGTCATGAATACCTGCGGATTGGATTGCAAACCCGTCTTCCCTCTTCCAGGCGATCGTCTGTCAGTAACGGCCTCAGTCTCAAGTCCTTGGCTGCAGATCTGTTAAACGTACCTCTGGATAAGTCTCTGGAGTTGCGCTGCAGCGACTGGGAAGCGGATCAGTTAACTCTAGAGCAGGTACGACGCCACCAATTTATTTAATGAAATGAGTCCACCAGAGTTTTGGACTTTATGTCCAGCAGTTGGTTAAGAGATGCTCCCATTGGGGTTTTCTGTTTTTTACTGTAAATCTGTCTGTTATTTATACTGGAAGAGGTGACATCAAAGTAAATGTGACAGACAGACATTGTAAAATTGATTCACTGTTTTTAAAAGGAGTGTATTATTGAAGAAAAGAAACATGCTAAATTGAGTTCTTTTTATTATTCCCTCATCAAAAACATACCTAGAGTGTTTCTTTGATTCTGTCAGTCATGTTTGAGAAATCACTAATTCTCTTTTGGCAGCCATTCTGCCACTCGGCTCCTGCAGACTAGCAGCAGCAGGAATCAGCAAACACCTGCTTTAACTGCTGAGCTCCTGTTGCTCACCGGTTGCGTTCATGTTAATCATAAGATTGGAACTGGGAAAATAAAGTTGCCTGATGGAAACGAGGCCATTTTGAAAAAACAAGGTTTTTGGTAAAAGTTTTTTTCAGCTGTATCGAAATTGGTGTATCTTACAAAAATGCATGAGAACTACATTTTTTACAATGTGCCAGCAAGACGTATTTCTACGTTTCGCTCACATTCGTGATTGAGAAACTCGTCTACCTTCTTCCCTGAACGCTCCCCCGGCTGCCTCCACCAGACGACGTACGCCGCCAGAGACGCTCAGATTTCCGTGGCGCTCTTCCTCCGTCTCCTCGGCCTCCCGACCGAAACCGGTCCCGCCCTCTCCAGCGGGAGCTCCTACTCGGAGCTGGCGTCCCGCTGCCAGGGCCTGGTGGACGTCCCCTTCAGGGGCCGCGGGGACGGAGACGACGGCAGCCCCGAACGCGAGCGGAGGCGGAGGACGCGGAAGCCGGCGACGAACGACAGCCCAGAGTCTGGAGATCAGCAAGTCCCAGACCCTCGGAAGAACAACCGGAGGAAAGCGCTGGGCGTCGGCTACTCCGCCAGGTGAGACGGAGACGAGGGTGACCTGGTTTCCCGTCCGTCGAGAAAAGAGGTTTAATTGTGTCGCCTCGGCTCGTTTCAGAAAGTCTCCGCTCTACGATAACTGCTTCCTGTACGCGCCTGATGGCCAGCCGCTCTGTACGTGCGACAAAAAGAAAGCCCTGTGGTACCTGGACAAAGGAATCGGAGGTAATGCAGGCTGGGCGATGACTCACATTTTTATTTGAAGACTTTCTTCTGGTAAAAATGGCATCTTTATCACTATATTCTCATATGAACCAAAATTCTCCTATCCTTCCCCTAATACTCAGTCGTTCAATTCAGATTATATTTAGAAAATATTTTTAAAAAGTGGCTTTTATTTCTGTGCTTTGTAGTTTCTTTTTTAGATTAGAAAGCTAGATGGGGGGACAGGGGATATTTACTGTAAAATCGGATCTGGTATTAAAAAAAAATCAGATTTCATTTCTAAGCCACCTTGGCTGGCCCTGGTTCAGGCTAATAGTCATAATAAATGAGTCACTGAGTAAAATGTTGCTGTTTGTGACGCAGAGCTGCAGAGTGAAGACCCCTTCATCGTGCGGCTGCTCTTCGAGCCGTCGGGGCGGCCCGACTCCCAGCAGGACTACTACCTGACCGCGAAGGAAAACCTCTGTGTCGTCTGTGGGAAAGCAGACTCCTACATCAGGTGCGAGTCGGTCCCGAGCAGCACTCGCTTCATATTCCAAATTTATCTTGATCTCCTCCCTCCCAAAAATGTCAGGAAAAACATCGTACCGCACGAGTACCGGCGACATTTCCCCACGGAGATGAAGGACCACAACTCCCACGACATCCTGCTGCTCTGCACCGGCTGCCACGCCGCCTCCAACGTGCACGACGGCTTCCTGAAGCAGCAGCTGGCCAACGAGTTCGACGCCCCTCAGGGCTGCGAGGAGGGCGTCCGGCTGCTGGAGGACCCGGACCGCCGGCGGGTGCGCTCGGCGGCCCGGGCGCTGCTCAGCGCCAAGGACGGGCTGCCGCAGCAGCGGCGGGACGAGCTGCAGCTGCTCATCAGGAGCTACATGGACATGAACGAGGAGCAGGAAGTGACCAATGAGGCGCTGCAGGAGGCCGCCGCCCTGGAGACCAGGTGAGCCCCCGCCGTTTGTCAACGTCTGGGGGGGCAGAGTTCAAGTCACAGAGCGACCGTGCAAACAAGTGTTGATCTTTTCCGCATCCTGTCTTAAGTTCCCGTGGATCACATCGTACGCCGACGACGCCGTGGTTTATGTTGAGCTTTCCGTGCCAGATCTCTGGATGTAGTAGAAGTTTCAGTGATTCTTTAAACAAAAAGTAAGAACCAGGTCTGGGTAATAAGGCTTAAAAATGCAATCTAAAAAAAAAAGCAACTTTTTTTCTGGTCAAAATCATCAGTGTCAGATTTAGTTACTTGAAAAACACGTTCCGAAATGCTGCACAAAACGCTAGTAAAATAAGTTGATGAGAAGAAAAGAGAAATATTACAGGACAGGAAATGATTGATTACTATTGTGAAGCTTCCAGCAGTGATGCGGTAGCTTTGAAGCTGAAAAAAATTGATTTACCGTAATCAACTGAATCTGTGAAATTTACGGTCAAATTCGTCTTTGAAGTCGAACATCGATTTGCGGTTAAATTTGACAAGAGCAAAAGTAAAAACTCAACTTCTGAACGCAACGTCTAAAAACCAGCCGCCGCTTTCAAACTTCACCCACATCTTTGTGTCTGTGGGAGAAATTTTGGTGGGAATCGCCATGGCAACCACTGCACACAGAGAACAAAACGGGGCAAAAAGTTTAAACTTAAGTTTACAGATTTTTAAAATTTTTTAAGCATGAATTGTTCAAGTTGTGGAACATTCAGGTAAAGAGAGAAACTGTCTTTAATTTAAATTAAATGAACTTCTTCCTTTCATTGTCATCAGTTTCTCTCTCTCTCTCTCTCTCTCTCTCTCTCTCTCTCTCTCTCCGTCCTGAAGGATCCTGAACGAGGCCTACGTTCCTCACGGCCTGAAGGTGGTGCGCGCCCACGCCCAGCGGGGCCTGCGGGGCCTCATGGAGCTGGAGCGGCGCTGGAGGCGGCACTTCCTGACCAGCATGCAGCCTCGCCACCTGCCCCCTCTCTGGTCCGTGGACCACAACCACGGCAAGTTCCTGCGCAAGTTCGGAGAGGACCTGCCCATCAAACTCCACTGAGCCGCGGCGCCACCACCTCCTCAGAGAGACGAGCCAAGAAACACAAAACAAACCAAAAAAAACCCAACAACCTGTGGTGAAGAAGTAACCCGGCAATTTGAAAAAACACTAACCTTTCAGCGTCTTGGTGGATGTCTTTTTTTTTTTATTCAATTTAATTTTTGAATAAAAAATTAAATTTTTTATTCAAAAAACTTCTTTTCATACCAAGTTATGAAAAGAAGTTATTAGATTTAAAAAAAAAGAAAAAAAAAACAATCATGATCTGATTTTTAGCTAAAAGCTGCTGCCTGCTCTTACTTCCCTCTCCTGTCGATAAGTGAATCTGTTTCCCCTCCATGCAGGCGAGCAGCAAAAAGAGCCAACCGGTTATGAGATTTCTCCTTTAGTCTATTGTCTGTTTTGGGTCAATAGAAGATTCCTTAAAACGCCTTGAAATCAAATGAATCGCTTTATTATTCTATTTTTTTTCTATCTGTCTGTACCAGGAGTTTGGTTTCCAGATGTTTTTTGGGGGGGCGGGGTTTGAATGTTTTTGAGCAGATCAAAGCTGGCATCCATCCAATCCGTCCTTCACGTCCCAGGCGTCTCCGTCCCGCCGCCGGGTCTCCGATTTGTCGGGCGTCTTCATGGCTCATGTTTTAGTGCGCCTCTTAACCCGACCCGGGCCGATCGGAGACTCGCCCGGGGGCGCGACCCTTCGTCGCTTCTCTTTCTCGTTTGTTTTTCAGCAGCGTCAGCACGACGTGGTTTCGTCCGCAAGTAAAAGAAAAAAACTTTTTTTCCCTGGACGTGACCGGGCGAACTTGAACCCCTCACCCCGTCTTAACAGGATCATGAATTATGTGAGGAAAATGTTTAAATCGCTCATAAGCGTCAAAGCTTGGGGCTTCTTTTTTTTTTTCTCTCCAAAAAGTGAAGAAATAAATGTTTGTAATAAACTGCTCAAATTCTCTGTTTTCCATTTTGCACACACATGAAAGAATAAAACAGTAGAAGAAGAGAAGACAGGCTTATTTCTTACAAAATCACAGTTTAATAAATAGTTTGTAAAAATGAGTACAAAAGTGGTCTTAACATTTCTTATATGAACGACTCGTTTCAGGTCAAAAGAGTCTTCAGTTGAACCTTTTTTTTTTTTCTTTTTTTTTCGTCAACATTTCTTTTATTTTTACAATCTAGTTCTGCTGAATTAAGGCCTCTTGATTTTGGCATCAGAACAATCTGCTAGTCGAATGTTTTTTGTTTTCCTCTCTTTTCCTTTTCTTGTCTGAAGTTAAGTGTGAAAGCGATGAGCTCCCCCTGGTTTCACAGTTCAGTCAGAAACGCTGAATAAAGCACATTCACAAAGAAATTAAAAACGGCTCAACATGCAGAATCCTTTTATCCGATGACCCGGACGGACGGACGCGTCTAAAGGGCAGCGTTTGACACTGCGACCAGAACAATGGCACACGAGGCTGCTTTCTTTAAAGGGGGATTCCGTCAACGGTGGAGTTTCTCCCAGAAGGAGAGGCCCGGAACTGTAACGGAGAACTTTGGGAAACATTTGACCCAAAACAAACAAACAAAGGAATTCCCCTTAAGGAAGCGTAGCAGTGACAGAGTGCAATCTGTTGTGAAAGACACTGACATCTTTACTGCATTTTTGCTGAAACCAATGGAGGTTGAGACACTATAAGACCCAGAACGTCTGTAATTTGTTTTTTAGCTTGATTTTGTCCTTAAGAGGGACCCATAAGGGATGCGAGGGGGAAATAATCGAACTTGATATTCGAACACGGCTACAGGCTGTCAAATGTACCAAGTGAATACAATAAAATTCCAGCTTGTACAACCTGGATTTTTTCACAATAATAAAAAAAAAACTACTCAAGGGATATGCTGACGTTTTTAAAGTCACTGTAGATTTTAGAGAGCTAAATTTAAAGCTCAAGCCGGCAGGGGAGTGACTGCAAACTGTCCGGCCGAGCAGACAGACGTGTCTGGCGGCTCTCCTGAGCGTCCAGCAACACCCGCACATTCAGTTCCAGCGCTAAATTACTGCATATTAAAACTTTTCGCTCAACGTGACAGAAGACCATTTGAACACGCACACGAGAAGAGACTCGCACAAATCAAAACGATGGTGGAAAAGCAATTCAGCCCCAAATTTCTGGATGTTTTCACCTTTTGGAAATACAAATGTGGGGGGAAGAGGATACGCTTGAGTGAAATTTCACATTTCAATTGCTTTAACTTAAAACAAAAGAGCAATAATTGTTGGGATTAATACGTCATCGCGGTTATAGATTGTAAGGTTAATGCCGTGCAGTCGTTATGAGATTTCTGTCGCAACTTTTAAAGTGAACGGAAAATCAGCATAAAGCTACAAGTTGTGCTTCTTATTTAGACATTTATTTATTTACTTACTTTTAGATCACATTGTCATAGCTAAGAATCTCTGTAAATCGAATAGCCGAATATTTGAACATACATTCTGACGATGTATTATTATTATTATTATTATTATTATTATTTCTTAACTGCAAAATGGAGACACACAAAAATGACTCCATACATGGCATCCAAATTTCTGAAGCGTGTTTTCGGTCCGTTTGTAAGCAGGACTGTTCTTTTGCGTTTTTCGCCCATATTTCGTGATGAGTTTGCGAAGATCGAATGCAACTGGATTCACATTTTCATAAGGGCCGATTAGATTGTCACAATAACAAAAGAAGCTGCAACAATAAATAAATAAATAGCTTAAATAAAGTTTTACGTGAAGCAGATGATTCGCTGTGTTTTTGGTCAAAAGGCTGATGGCCGAACGTTTCTTATGGTCATCGACGCCAATAAGTCAAACCTCGAGCCCTTGAGACGCATTAGAAATATCTTCTAAACAGCGAAGGCCTTTGTGACGATAAAGCATCTCTCACTTCTGCATTTCTGACTTGGGGCCCAGTTATTAAACGGGCTCCTTCCTCCTGGAACCTGGCGGCTCCCGGCGACCCTCACCTATTATTGCTCGCATGTTCACACACAGGCTACATACAGCAGGGCAAACTGTTCCAGCCTCCGAACGCAGATGCAAAGTTAGCCGTATTTCACAGTTCGACTCCCGATGGTGGTCCAAACTTTCCCAAAAAACAAAAAATGGCAACAAAACACGACTGCCTAATGTGTTTCACCAGGTTCTTTTTGTTTTTGTTTTTTTTCCCCATCTCCTATTTTAACGAGGACAGACTCCAGCTTGTGGGAAGAGACACGACGTGGACGTTTGCTGGTGTATTCAGGATGTAACAAGTCACAAAATCTTTGGAGTTTCATTCATTAAGCCAGGATGAAGGCGCGCGAGGGATTTCTATTTATTTATTTATTGTGTGTGTGTGTGTGTGTGTGTGTGTGTGTGTGTGTGTGTGTGTGTGTGTGTGTGTGTGTGTGTGTGTGTGTGGGTGTGTGTGTGTGTGTGTGTGTTCCATCCCGACGCACGGAGCCGATGCTTTCACGCGCGCGCGCAGCCTTCCGAACCCACGCGAACCAACCCAAACGAGGACGCACGCACACCTCACGCATTCGCTGCATTTCTCAATGCAAAACGCAATTGGCACAAAGTATCAAAATAAATACCCTGGAAGATTGGCACTATGCAAAAAAAATAAATAAAATAAATAAATAAAAAAAGAAAAAGGAAAAAAAAAAAAGCTTCACAATTTTCAAAGAAATCTTATAAAAAACTATTGAATAATCTCAGTCTACTCCATGTTTTATTATCCTCACTATTACTTATATACTATATGCTGATGAAGGTTACACCAGTGTCGTAAACCTCTGAAGGACTTAACTACCACTGAAACAATATAGCTCCTATTCAAATAGATTTTTTTTGTTTCCACAAACGTACATCAAAAATGAAGTATCTAACATCTATCCCACTATAGATAGTGCTGTTGTCTGGTGTGCATTTCTTCATAGAGCCTATTCTTTGTTTTCTTCCTTCACGCAATCAGTTCGAGCAACACCGCTGACAACATTTGTGTACTGACCCCTGCAGGGTGACCTCACAGGTGTCCCTCCAGGATGCTGGTGACAGGCTGGTCCAGCGAAGGGCCTGGCGCCGCCCTGCCCGGGGCCCCCGAGGGGCCCTGCAGGCGCTGGAGCTCCAGGATGCTGTCTATGGCACTCTGTAGATGTTCGCTGAGGATGTTGTCCTCCTGGAAAGGCAGGGACGCGGGGCTGAAGCGCTGCTCCGGCTGAGGGGACACATCCACCCGGTAGCATTTCAGCTTCGGAGCGCCGGTGTCTCTGGTGGCGATCTCCAAGCAAACGTCCTCCGGTTCCGCCGTCGGGAGGGGAATCGGAGGCTTTGCTTCGGAGTCGGGCACCGTCTGCGGGGCCTGTTCTGCGCCGTCGGGCATTTCGTCTCCGTACTGGGAACGCCGGGGAGCTCCGTTGGTTGCCTGGGGGTGACGTTCACTGACGCCTCCGCCGCCGTTCGTCAGCTGCCCCGTGTGGTCCCTCTTGAGTCCCGGATCGCAGGCTGAGTTGTGGATCACTTTGCGAGAGCCCGACTCCTGCTTGATAGTGAGTCTTAGAGCCCCGCGTGAGCTGGAACGGTAGGTCTTCAGTCCTGGGGGTCTCTCGGTCAGTCGTGCCCAGGCTGGCGGGGAGGACGGGCTAGAAGAGTGAGTGTGAGAGAAGCCAGAGGACTGGGGACTGTGAGGGGAAGACGCTGACGTCACCAAAGATGTCATAAACGTTTCTGGAAGGCAAAAAAAAGACGGGAGTGATTGAACATCGCAATCAGTTAGTTTCGGGTACGGTAGTGTTCGCCAGACCACATCCGCAAAGTCTTGGACTTGCTGGATTTGCGATTCTTTCTCAAGACCAAACCGTCAACATGTACCCGAGTTTGAAATTCTTGCTGTATTCAAATGCAACCAATAACAATATATCTTTTTTTTTTTTTACTTTTTGCAAATGCAGTACTACCTCCTGTCCCTCTACCTGCAGAGTGACCTGCATCCACCCAATCCCTGATTCTGGCTCAACTCCCGAACTTCATTCCTCACTCTACTGTGACAAACAGGACATGTGAAAATGTCTTCCAGTGGTTCCAATTCTACGTGAGATTTTAGGCTTACATCAACAATGTACTCTCAAAAACTTCAGAGCCGATCATCAGCCAGGCCTGACATTTAACAGCTTTCGAGTCCCCTTCACGCGTTCTGCTTCTTAATTACCAGAAAAACACCTTTGATTTCTCCTTAACTTCATGTTGAGGAAAATTACACTCTCATGTGTAATTTTCCCTCATCATGCAGCCCTCCTCATGCTCCCCACTGACACGTCTTAATTACTCATTCACACCTGGAGGAAATACGGAGGTTAAGTGCAGTGCCCTGAGGTACCACTCTGACTCTCTAGGAATTTTAATGTTCTCATACTAGTTGGACACTGTATCTTTTTTTTTCTTCGTCTCATTAAGACATTCCTTGGAATCTTACGAGCCCCTTGTGGGAACACTGACCTGGATCTTTGCGAGCCCGCCGTCTCTCCTCGGCCAACGTGAATCTCTCGGCCTGGAGGAAGAGACGCTCCAGCATCACCATCTCCGCCGACGGACTCTCCTGCTGTGGAGACCGCAGTTCGCATGTCAGCAATCGTGGCGGTACGGACTTGTCTACAACTCAAGATCTGAATAGTGTGGTGGAGTTCGTTGAAACCCTTTTACTGGTGTTGCGGCATCTTGTCGTGCTTGTCTGAGGTTGTGCTGCGTCTCACCTGGGTTTCCTTAACCAATAGCTGCCTGTATTTGTTGACCATGTCCTTGGTGCGTTTTAGCAGGAAACCAGATACGGAGTCAAACTCCTGATCCACTGTTGACAAAAGAAACATGTCATTTCCAGGTGAACGTGGAGTGTTCAGCGTTTTTACTGAAAGCAAGAAAAACAAAAAAAATGGAGAAAACGTCTCGAAATAATGACTAAAGAAATGACAAACGGTTACTTCTCGACATTTTCCGACTTTACAAATCAATGCTGGTGAACCTAAGCTGCAGTCGTCTTGCGTGGGCAGGTGACCGGCGCAGGTGTGGTACGGCAGCAGGCGTCTGACGGCGTCTTTCAGAGTGGCGAACGCCGGCCCCGTGGGCGGGTTCTGCACAGCCCCGCGGTCCAAACAGAGCTGCTGCTGGAATCTGCAGAAGACGACGAGATCTCAGCGTTGCCGTCCGCGACCGGCAGCTGGTTGGTGGAAGTTCTTACCTGTGTCGGCGCATTGCTGGTGTGAGCCTCTCCTCTCGCTGTAGTTCCAGATTACCTGCCGGCTGATCAGCACGTTTTCAGATTAAAACGACAACAACAACAAAAAACTCAGACTCAACTGAATGTGGAAGGATTGAGACTTTGCTGTATGTCGTGTCATATTAAGTGTTGCACCTTTGGGCCACTCTGCTGGTCGGGGCCACACTGGTTGGGAGGCCCCTGAACTCGATCTGCAGGAGAGGGTGGATGTATATTGAGAGTATAGCTCTTACTCTCCAAGGCAGCTGTGGGCTCTGGAAAACAACATGAGGACAAAGACGAACAAAGTCAGCGGAGAAATATATTTGTATACTTATGGCCTCCACGCCACCAGGGGGCTCCCGAGAGCACCAAGCTAGTGTGATAACATTGTTATATATACTTTTTAGTCTGTTGTTCCTGGACAACAGATTTAGTTAAAAGCAAAGGCTCAACAAACAAGGTTATAATAACTTCACTGCACAAATTTTGTGATTAAATACAAAACAAGAAAATAACAATGCAATTATTTTTATAAATAATTCAGCTGTTGGCTGGACAGAACCCCTCCTGCCCCCCCCCAAAAAACATCCTGTTAAATTGTTTACTGTAAATTAGCTGATGTTAATTTCAAATAGTTAAGATAATACAATGTAAGTACTACTCTGCATTTCAAAACCCAACTCTTTTGTACTTAGCGTGCTACTCCTGTATGGTTAAAATCAACAGCCATAATAACACTGACATGATGCAAGCTAATTACAAATGATGCTAATATAATAGCAAGTCTTCACACAGGAAAGCATCTGGTTTGGGGGACCCCAAATGAAAATCTACTTAGGGCCCCAAAACGTTTTGGGCCCTGACACTATTTCTGAGCACGCTATTTTTATCAATTAATTAATTAATTAATTTTTAATAGGAAAAGCTGCGGTTGAACTCACTGTTTTGTGTGTGCTGTTGGACAGCAGAGTCGTCTCCCTCTTTCGAGAGAAGAGCGGAAGCAGCTGCAGTCTGCTGCTGAGGCACCGGGACGCTGACACGCAGAGGGGACGGGCTGCGGGGGCCCGGGGTGCAGCTCGAAGACCGGGGCTGGGAAACGGGGGGCTGCACCTGTCCGGGAGGCTGGGGGACACTCTGGACACTCGCCTGGGTCTTCAGAAATAAGCTCTGCGGTACTTGGTACTGGACTGGAGCCTTCGGGTGGGGGTGGGGGGCCGACGTCTGAGGCCCAGCCGGAGGGGAGAGCGTCCCTGGAGCTGGTCTCGCGGCGTCCGGAGCCAGAGACGGGGAGCAGATCATCGTCGTGTCTTCCGGTTCCGAGGGACGCGGGGAAACTTCACAGCGCCGGCCAGAGGTCGCGTGAGTGTCCGGCTCAGACGCGGCTCCGCTCCGGGGTGGACTGTCTCCGCCGCTGCCGGCCGGGGAGGTGAGGGGCTCCATCGGAACCACTGGCAGAGATCCGACCAATAATTCAGACGGGATGGGAGAACCAAGAGCTTCCTGCTGACAGAACCAGACCAGAATCTAAGCCAACGTGTGACATAAGACACTAATACTTTGAACAAGTATTAGTGTTCCTTCTAATTTAGCTTATTATACACAACACAATTTCATTTTTATGTCATATTTTCATTTTTCTAATTTAATGACATTAGAAAAATTTTATATAAAACGTGTTGACAAAACACTTCAAGTGTTTTTGTTCGTTCAGGGGCTTGAAATCTTTGAAAATGCTTGAATTTCATTTCAGTGTCTTAAAGGTTGAAACATTTCCTGATTTCTCCATAAAGTCATTGAAACCACTTAATATTTAAACTGCACGGTTCTGAAACGCAAGTGCTAAATTTGACTAAACTCCAGAGAATGTATTTTTAGAGATTTTTCTTTTCATATTGTTTTTCACTGAATATTTTAGAGTTTAAACACTTTTTTGCGTGAGAATTTCTGACATTTTTGCCAATATTTTCTAAATTTGTCCTGCAAATTCTTTACATTGTTGTCATAATGTCTCTCTCTTATACCATCGTAAGAGACAGACATTTTGAAACACAAAGTGTTGCTGCATTTTGGTTCACCTGAAAATAACATTGCAAGACATTATAAACGAGCAGCGATAATTGTGTCCTGTTATATGACAATGATGTGATATAATAGTGATCTGAAACTGTATTTTAATTCATTTGTTCTGTTCTTATCTCCAAAGTGTAGTACTGGTAACGGCTTGAATATTACTGTGGAAAAACGAAGCCTGTTCTTAGGCACTTCTTTTTCTTCATGTGCTGCTTTGTGCTGGTCTGTCACACAGAATCCTCCCCACAAAACAAAATCCACAGGAGACGCGCTGACCTGTGGCATGTGTTGCATAAAGTCCTGGCTTTGACTCATCGAGTGGGTGACCTCTTCCACAACTTGGCTGAGGTCTGCTGAGGGCATCAGGAGCTTGGGCATCTCCACGGCTGGTTCAGGGGCGAGAGGAGGCTCAGGTGGAGGCTGTAAGACTGCAACCACCTGAGGAAGAGCATGAGGAAGAGGAGGAGCAGGGGGAGGGGACTGGAGCCCCGCAGAGCCGGGCTGCACCGAGACGTGCTGGACCACGTGTCCAAAGGGCTGCGGGAAAGACGCGGCAAAGTTAGGACCCAATTCTCTTCAGTTCAAATGCAGAATAAATGTCGGGGGAATGTTCCGATACGCTACTGATATCGCAGCTTTGAGAATTGGCCGATATCAATACCGACCCATTATGCTGTCACCATGAATCCTACATTATTTTGTAGTGTGGAACGTTAGAGAATGTCTAACCATGTGATATTACTCAGAGAGCAAACGTCAACAATAACAGGTATGAGAACAACTGAGCCATTTATTGCTAACTAGTGGGTCTGCATGCGGAATACAAACACTGGTGCACAGAAATGACGGGGCCTGAGGACTGGAGTGTGTCTAACGGCCTGCTTTAGATGCAGGCTGATGTAATGTGACGCTGGTTTTTTACATTTTTTTTAAAATCCGATATCAGGCTAATTTCTAATATCAATATTGGATTGGAACAGACCTGGGTAGCCGTAGTGAAACACTATGCATAGTCATGTTTATCTCACCTGTTGTAGCTGGTGGAAAGCCTCCTCTGAGCCGCTCCTCTCCTCCTGAACAGGCCTCTCAGGCAGCAGCACCACAGAGGCCCGCTGAAGGCTCAGCTGCCCCTCTGTCACTCCCGCCTGTGGAGCTGTGGCCTGAGCGGCGAACGGCAGTCCCTGAACAACCGAGGGGCCGTTGACAATCGAGATGGAAGTGAGATCCTGGGGAAGCACCCCGGAACTGTTGATCAGGGTGATGTGGTTCCCAAGAGCAGGACTGTGGACCAGGGTGGCTTGTTGCCCCTGCCCTCCTGCGGCGTAAGCTCCAGCCAGCTGTGCCGGCATCTGGAAGACGGTGGCAGGGGCCGGCTGCAGCTGCAGAGATCCTGAAAGCACAGTGGCCTGGCGGAGAGCGAGCTGCCCTGTTGGAGTGGCGAAGACCGGGCTGAAGTTCAGCTGTCTCTGGGGTACGGTTAGGATCTGAGAGCCGTCCACAAGCTGCCCGGTGGAGGCAGCCACGCCGTGAACGGAGGGGCCTTGATGACTGGGGGTCAGGAGAGGTTGCACTGTTCTGGCAGGCTGGGAGATTGTGACGGGACACTGGCCCGGAAGAAGAAACTGGTTCTGGCCTTGGAAGAGTCCCTGAGGCTGGAGCACGAATGAGCCGCCCTGGTTGACCAGCTGGAGGCTGACCGGCTTGGAGAGCTGCTGCGCCGGCTGCGGCTGTGGAGCTACGGTCTTTTGGCCCGGAGCTTGGGACAGTAAGATGTTGGACGAGGCGGTCGCCGGGACGAACGTCAGACCAGAGGTCGCTTTCTGCCCCGAGGGCTTGGGGCTGATTTGCACCAGCCTGGGCTGGATGCTGATGGGCAACTTGGGCTGGATGGGCAGCGGGGCACGCTGCAGGACGATGCCCGGCGCTGGCGCCGCTGCGGCTCTGAGGGCCGGGTTGATGAGGGGCCGGGCGGCGACGCCAGACACTGCCTTGTGGATGATCATGCTGGAGCCTTGAGCGGGACTCAGGGAGAAGGAACTGTCTGGAGACGGAGCAGGAAACACATTCCCAGGCAGGAGTCCCATCAGCTGAGCCGGAGCGGCCGGTTTTAGAGACGGGCAGCCCGGTCCCACTGCCAGCAGGGAGGGCTGAGGAGGCTCCACCGCAGCTTGGGTGTCTCTGGGCAACGTCGGGGCGACGGGCAATGTGACGGACTTGGGTATGAACGGCACCGCGGGTGGAGAGAGGAGAGGAGTGGGGGGACAGAGGGACAAAACGTCTCCTGCTTGCGCCAGTCCTGCTTCCAGGGCCATGGTCTGCTCGGTGATTTCAGCCTCCTGCAGACTCTGCTGGAGGATATCACAAGCCACCTCCGCCTCCCCCACTTCCTCCTCCTCCTTCGCCTCATATCCAGCCTCGGCAGGTGGCTGCACGGCCTCCGGGTCCTCTGCGCCCTCCGGAGAGGACAGCAGAGCCTCCTCCAAGAAGGACAGGTCCACACAGCCAGGTGGAGGCGTGTCCGTGCAGTCCCTGCCATCTCCCAGCAGAGAGACGGGACTCTGGAGGAAGAGACACAGACAGAAAGAGGGTTATTGTGCGATTAGTCAGCATTTAATAGCAGTCACGAAATGGAGAGAAAGCCATCGATCTCAAGGGGCATGATGCTGGTGGTTTTGTCGCTGCTCTCTGCGCGTACAGACACTCACCGGGGCATCTGTGAAGAGGGAGGGCTCCCCAGAGGAGGAGCTAATGAGCAGGTCTTCAGTCTGCAGCTGGCGAGACAAAAACGAGTCAATTTCAGGTTCGGTCGCCTTGATTGTTGGGGGTGGGGGTGAAATGATTCAGCTTTTCTTTCTGACTCTCTGTTAACCATCTGCCCTCTCACAAACACCTCCCAAATCTGGCTCTTCGTTAGCAAGACTGCTGCCGCTAAATACCAGTGCACACCACACTTTTCAGATTTCATTCTGAGAGAACGTTTGAGAGCCAGTTCTTCCACACACAATCCTAGAAGAGTTTGAGGGCTTGGCTGCAGGACTCCAGCAGTTTCTGTGAATCACTTCTTACCTCACTGGTTCCATGAAGGAAGTCATTCAGGGCTTGGGGGTCACTGCAACAAGAGAAGGAGAACAGAAGCACCGAAACGAATGAGATCTATGCGGACACTTGTCATTTTGATTCAGGATTTGCACGGGGAGTCAGTAATGCATTTCGTTGTAAAATGTAGCGTCTCTATTTGTGCTTTTTTTCCTGTGTTTGTTTGGAAAGGCAAAGCGAGCGAGCTGGTTGGCTGGCTGCAGGATGTAAGAACAAACTGGAAACTCACCACAAAACATCAAGTAGACAAGTCCCATCTTCATCCTCCATGTCAGCTGAGAGAAAGATGAAGAATCATTAACACAACATTGTTCTCAATGTTTGTCCAAACAGTACTTCTGACATCGGGGTGAAATGCATTTGATCCAGGCTGATGCCGCGACTCCGTCCACATTACCTGACGATCACACACTCGTCTCTTCGAAGCGCCCCGCCCGCCGCGTCTTGTGTAATTGTAAATTGAACATGGCTAACCAATTTCCTTCAGGCACAGAACATCCCCAGCTTGGGATTGAAAATAAGATGCAGAACAAAACAAAAAACGCCGGCGCTGCCGAGTTTTGTCTTTCGTAAAAGATGAATGTTCCGAATCATCATCATCATCAACAAAAAAATAAAAATGTGTTAAAATGAAAATCTGAGGAAATACAAAAACATTTTTTTAGATAATTATTTTGTTTATGAAGAGGAAAAAAGCTATCCAAACCTACATGTGCCACCCTTGAAAGAATTTAATTTATTTCATTTATTCCCTTTTTCTGATTCACATTGGCTGGACACACCCAGAACTGAATATAGTGGTATTTATTCTGGCTGCCACCGTTTCAATTCTAAGGACTGCTACATGTTAGCAAGTCCATTAATGTGGAATAATCCAGCTGTTCTGTAAACAAGGAGCATCGAGAACATCGAGGCCCAAAGCAGGGACATCGGGAAGGACGTACTGGAAAAGTTTAAAGCAGCTGAGCAGATCCAGTTCAGGGAGAAGGAGAGGCGACAAAAGTTGTGCGATAGACAGATTTGGCATTTATGGAAGAGCGGCGACCTGAACAAAGTCTCGTTTACAACTTTTTATGAGTCCTTTAAGTTGGGAGCGTCATCGAGCAGGGATGCGTTTCTGGCACGTCACATTGTTCCAACAAAATCTGATAAATGAAGGCCCCCCAGCAGGTGCTTTCTCTGCGCTAAAATGAATCATTTTCCTCACCAGGAACAATCAAAGCACCTGGGAAGATAGATGGAACCTAACACAGAGAGGAAAGCTAATACAAATAAGCAAAAGACCTGCAAAATCTTGCCTTACAGCAAGAAATTACTAAGAACGTGCGCCCAAAGCGGTGGAGCGGTGTGGATCAGAGCACGTCCACGCGTTAGAACGGCCCAGTCAAACTCCGGACATTGAATCCACTGGGGGAAATTGCTGCAACCCGCTGTTCGCAAATGCTCTCCGTTGAATCCTTTGGCTTTATTTGCAGGTGGTTCGATAAGAGTTTGACTAACTTCACACTTTTAAGGTGTAACATGAAAACGCTAAACGATTTAAAACACTGTAATGAAACATTGACAGGAGAAATTGTCTTGATGTATATCTTGTTCCTATTGTGGCGTCTTTGCATCAATTGTATCTTATTAATGCTATTAATAACACATGGGAAGAGTTTACCACTCACTGTGTCATTGTATGTGTAATTTATAATGTTCTAACATCGAAATCAAATTTTTATTGATAAAAACAGAAGAAAAAGTGCAAATATGTACTATATACTATATATATATATATAAAAATTTTCCCCTCTCACCCACCGCGGGTGGTTCTTATCCTCTGAGCTCGGGTCCTCTACCAGAGGCCTGGGAGCTTGAGGGTTCTGCAGTATCTTGGCTGTGCCAAGGACTGCACATTTCTGGACTGAGATGTCTGATGTTGTTCCTGGGATCTGTTGTAGCCACTGCTCCAGTTTGGGGGTTACTGCCCCGAGGGCCCCGATGACCACAGGCACCACTGTGGTCTTCACCTTCCAGGCCCTCTCCAGTTCTTCCCTGAGGCCCTGGTATTTTTTCCAGTTTCTCGTGCTCCTTTTTCCTGATGTTGCAATCGCTTGGTATTGCTACATCTACCTCAACGCTTTCCTCTGATGTTTATCCACTACGACAATGTCTGGTTGGTTCGCCATTACCATTCTGTCTGTCTGGATCTGGAAGTCCCACAGGATCTTATCTCTGGTGTTCTCCACCTTTGGGGGTGTTTCCCACTTTGATCTTGGGGTTTCCAGTCCATATTCTGCACAGATGTTTCTGTACACTATGCCTGCCACTTGGTTATGTCGTTCCATGTACGCTTTCCCTGCCAGTACCTTGCACCCTGCTGTTATGTGCTGGACTGTCTCAGGGGCCTCCTTGCACAACCTACACCTTGGGTCTTGTCTGGTGTGGTAGATCTGGGCCTCTATTGCTCTGGTGTTTAGGGCCTGTTCCTGGGCGGCCAGGATGAGGGCCTCTGTGCTGTCCTTGAGTCCAGCTTTTTCCAGCCATTGGTAGGATTTACTGATATCAGCCACTTGGGTTATTTGCTGGTGGTACATCCAGCAAATAATATAGGCTATATATATATATATATATATATATATATAAATGTGATCATGTGCGTTTTAAAAGGCAAACAATGGGGTTGTCTGGAGGAAAATCAGCAAGAAAATGTAAATAATTTCAGTGAAATGAACATATTTTGATTCCTGAATACTTTTCTACGTCACAGGGTTTGGAAAAACCCCCAACAACAATTGATTATCCCAACAATAACAACAAAAACAAAGTCTGCATGTGGAAAAAGGATTCACCAAACATACTTTACATGTGAGAGGCCCCATGCAGAGCGGTCGAGCTGAGTTCCGGTGGTGGCTTCATGGGAAGCTGTGGTCGCTCTTCGGCGTCTGGGGGCGGGCGGGCATCAGGCCGGGGCGGCGGCGGGACGGAGCCGAGACCTCTCTCTGCTGGGGCATCGCTGCGGGGGGAGGATGGGGAGCTGCATGTGAGCAGGGCACAGACAACACGGCACACGCCGCCGGGTCACTCCGGGTTAACACAAACGACGCACCTTCTTCGTCTCGGGAGAGAGGCGGACGTTTTCCGAATCGATGCGTGATTCATCGGTTTTCATCCAGATCCATAGCCCACAACAGCGTCATATTTCTGATTATTGATTACGCCCGAGGCTGATCGGGAGGAGGGAGGAGGAGAAGAAGACAGGAGCTATTGTTGTGGCAGATCAGAGCGGCTCAGCTGTAAATAGACGGCTCCCCCCGCGCCGTGGATGTGATTCGTCCTCTCCTCATGGCTGTGGGGGGGTGAGAAGAAAAAGGAGCAGCGATGTGGAGCATCTCCGCACAGCGCCAAGCCTGCTCTAAGTCCCTCTCCCTCTCCGACGATCGCGTTTGTTTACAAGCAGACAGCCGCATTAACACCCCGTCCAGGTACCGCAGCGCCCCGCGAAGCCTCCGGCGCGCCGACCCCGTCATCCCGAACCCCGCGGGCGGCAAGTTCCCCCCCCCCCCCCTCTACCCCCCAATTCTCCGGCCATAACCGGGACCCGGGATCCGCTGGTGTAGGTTACGTAAGGTGATGTGGGTTCATGTTAAATTTATGTCCGAGACGATGCAGGACGCCGAGCCCGCCGCTTCCTCCCCTTCATCATCACCGCCACCATTATCATCATCATTGTTATTATTATTATTGAAGACGCGCATATTAGCTCAGCGTGAGTCCACGGCAGCTGACGCCTGCTGTAAATCATATCGCGGTAACAAAAGATGCCTTGTGTTAAATATCTGCTCTCGCGGTCAGACCCGAGCGGCTCGCTTCTCGTCGGGTCGCTGGAGGAAATTCCGCTATTACAAGAATAACCGGGAGAGACGAAGAAGAAGCAGAAGCAGAAGAAGGAGAAGAAGAAACACCCTCACCCCTTCTTTGTGGTTTATTGTCCTGTCAAGCGGGCCTCTGCGCCATCGATTCTCACTCAGCGGTCTTTTCAGATGCTAAAAGGAGGAGAGGGGGGGTGGAGGCGGTGGAGGGGGGGTGGGGGTAGGACAGGGTGGGATGAAGGAGGGAGGAGGAGGAGTGTGGTAGGGGCGCCGGAGTGGGTGTGAGAAAACAGCCTGAGATCACAACACAAAGGTAGGGGGACAGGGGGCTAAAAAAAAAGAAAAAAAAAAGCACACGCGCGAGGAGGAGGAGGAGGAGAGGATCCAGCTTCGGTTGCGCGAGCGCAGGAGAAAGTGTGGCCGACTGCTGCGCCTCGTGAGGCGGACGCACGCGCTCCGGCGGTGCCGGTGAGTTCCTTCACGAGGCTCGAGGGTCTATTTTAGTTCGTTCATTTTTATTTCAATTTTTTTTTACATCGTCGTTTCCTTTTCTTCAATCCCCCTTTACGACGCAAAACTTAAAAACGCACACTGCCGCACGCGGAATGTGTGGAAAAGTGATTTCAAATGAGTCCACAGTTCACTTAGTACAAACTAGCGCTCACAAAATGTATTTCGCTGTCATTTCTAGGATGTATTAGATTTCAGCACACTTTAAGTGCATGCCAGTGTACTTTTCTGCTTTCAGGAAACTGCCTTAAAACACCGAGAATGAGTCGAATCAGAATCGATAGAAACAAAGGGAAAGGCTGTCAAGAATGTATAAAAAATATATTTAACTTGAACCATTTTAAGTATCAAGCATGAATTGAATTTTTTTTTGTAGGTAACATGCAGTAGTACTCTGCCCACATCTAATCCTGTTGCTGCATTTTGCCCTTTATTTTTGCTCCTTCCATGCAGCTTCCCTCTCTCTGTTGAAAAAACAAAACAAAAGCAAAAAAGCCTCCGCACAGCTTGATGCTGCCACCACCAAATGGGCCATGCGCGATGTGCCTATTGTTTGTATGCAAATTATTGAGCAGCATAAGAACTGGTGTTTAATAGGAATCTTTATTAATAAGTCAAACAAGGATATATAAAATACACTCCCCATGTGAAAAGAACTCCAAAAACACAACCTTTACACGCCCCTCCCCAACCCGCACCCCAGGTTTTCTCGTGGCCTTCACTTGGCTGCCTGCTGGGCTTGACGACGAAGCAGCACGTAGATCTTCTCTTTGATCCAGTCCTTGTTGTACGGTTGGTACGTCTGTGTGTCGGCGCGATACCTACGACGGAACGGCAGGTTTAGGTCTGTTTGCACCTGACTCCTCACAACAGGACGCCGCAGTTCATTTTGAAAACATACGACTGTTTTCATATTGACCAAAGTCTTCTTGTTCCCCAGAGGATGACCCTTTCCTAATTTTTAGAATAGAGCTTTAAAAGTTGCTCAAATGGTTACATTTGATAGGTGGACAGCTCTATGTCTCTATGAAGCTACTAAACTATGCAAATACAAATGCAGTTAACAAAAAAAAGGCATGTTAGGAGAGACCTTTCTTTTTCAATATCAAGTTACGGTGCTACTTTCTGTTGTGATAAAAACACTGTAAAGATCATACGTAAAAGAAATTTGACTGTTATTTAGCATCTAAAAATTGGTACTCTGTCTCTTTAAGAAACGCCTGCTCTTTCTGAAACTCCGCTTTCAGGAAGTCATCACAACATGCCTCCCCTATTACACCTTTATGAACGTTTTTTTGCACTGAGAAGTAGCTTGTATAATGAGCTTTGCAGATGCTCAGTTCCATCAGGCCTTTGCTAATTGCTCCTGGCTAGTCTGAAGGAGCTGAGTGGGGGAGTTGCAAGTCCGGGCTGCCATGTGAGGCAGAAGCTTGGGAACCGTGACTCTGAGGAGGAGCTACGTCCTCGAAGGTGAAGCTAAGGCCACCTAAAGAGAATTTTTGTGACTTTGTGAATGCTTCTATTTGGCTTATAAACTAAACAATTGAAATGATTCCAGTGTGGAACACATTGATCTCTTTCATGTTAAAATTCTGTTATAATCTTTTTGCAGCACTTGAAATATTTGTGAATTTTTCTGCCTTAAACCAAAGTCCTGTTTACTTCCCTAAATTCTTGAGTAAGTATCAGGAAATGTTCACACATCATCTCTACATCAGGGCTGTCCAAAGTCTGCCGTAATATTCAAGTTACTGGTTTTGTGTTAATTTTCAGACTAAGAATAACACTTAAAGGTAGCATCCAAAAATGTAAAAGCTTTGTTAGTGTGAAATGTACTTCTTTAAAGATTAACAATCAGGAAGGAATTATTTTCCATCGACTTACACCAAACAGCTGAGGTCGGCAAGGTCATCGATGAAGTCAAACAGTTGGCTGATATCGTATGTGATGGACGGACTGTTGGGGTTCATTCTCTTTAAATGCTCCTCATACATCTTGCAAACACCTGCAGGATACGAAAATACAATAAATTGCACTGCTATGGTAAGAATAGACACATAATGCGAGTTCAATGTGAACGAATGACAAGACATTTGTAGAAATGTCTTCTCAATCTTTTGATCACAGATTCTGACTGGAAAATTGATGAAAATGTGCTGCCGGTTGTGCATTGACCAACAATATTCCACTCCATGAACAAGTGTTTATACCAATGTTTTGATACAGACTTCGTCATTTCGATATAATAGTGCTGATGTTCAGGATAAAGAAAATTGTGTATTTGCTTTTTTGGTTCGTGACCCACGATAGAGCATAATATGTTGCGTACAGATTCACTCCATTCAACGTCCGCTGGCAAGAAATCTTTTGATGCGTTAATGGCGTTGAGGTTTTGGTTTGGCAAATGAAAAAAAAAAAGAAAAAAAAAAAACAAAAGAAATTTTGAAAGCTTCTTCTGCGATTCTGTAAGTGGGCAAATTGTTTTCCAACTTACCTTCCATACATTCATTGACTGATTCATAATCGGCGTACGTCCGACCCTCTGGCCTCTTCGTGGGCTGCACCAGCAGGATGGTGTGAGACTGAAATTCACATTTATGCTGTTACACAAAATCATTGTCTCATTCAAAGTACGCTTGTTTTCAAATAAACAAAATCTGCTTTATATATAATTGTGTGTGTGTGTGTCGTTTGCTTTGTGATGTTATAATCACAAAGCAAACGACACATTAAATAACATTTTAAGACCATTAAATAACATTTATGACATCAAACCGAGGTGTACGTTTATCTTTATGTGGTTTTGTCAATCTTAAGTTGTGTTGTGGCGGATACAGTGTATATATCTCACACCTGAAGTGACTGACTGTCTGCTGACTTCCACACTGTAACTCACATGTTTTCAAATGTTTCAAGTGTTTGAGGAAAATAAGGTAAAACAACGAATAACCACTGAAATATGTTGCTAAAGCTAAACTTGCACACACAAAAAAACGTTGTTTTATCGGTTAGCTTTGTTGTTGCGGCAGTTAAATACGTCTCGGATGTTTCACGCTAACGTTAGCTGCTGTATTTACCGTAAGTTTTTCGTTTAAGTCGCTGAAATTAATTGGACATAACGCGTCGGCTTCGGTTTTCACTGGAAGGTGTGAAACGTCATTTCAAGAACTAACCTAACGTTAAACATACCATGCTTTTGGTGGCTTTCGTAGGCTTTCGGGGATACCTGTTACGTTCGAGCGAGCTGACCTCTGGCACCGGAAGTACAATTAAATGACGGGAAACAGCATGAAAGAGAGGAGAATCCGGTGGAGCTCCGGCGGAAGCGGAAGCAGCTCCGCTGGTGGGCGGAAATACTCATCTTTCACCTCTGAGAAAGTTTATCCAATGTAGTAAAGGCATTGTTTTTGTGAAAGGCCTTGTAGATGTTAATGGAAAAAGTTTTAGAGCCTTCAACTTCTTTAATAAATATAACCTTAAAAGCACTGACTCACAATATAACAAAAATATGAAAAGCCACACCACAACCTTTTATCCACTTAATTAAGAATACTCTTTCAAATTTGACATTTACATTTTTTTTTCTAAAATGATGACATACATGTGATAAATAATTAATTAATAAATCAGGTCTTAAAATTAACTTTACTCAACTATAAATTTATTAAGTAATCCAGTTCTCTAAAGGTAAAAAAAAAAACCTCAATATAAAATAAGACACCAAATATACCCCAAATATACCCTGTTGTAGATTTTTAAAATGGTTTTAAATTGAAGTAGATGCATATGTATTCTGTAAAACAAATGAGAAAACATATGATAAAACCCATTTTCTTGTGCCTGTTGGTCTACTTTACACAACTGGTTGTCACTCAAAATTCTCAAATTTTAATTGTCACCAATACTACTTTACATTGAACGTTTAGAATAAAAAAATATTTAGGACTCATCCAATGTAATTCTCCTGTTGGGTATGTATATTCATAGCTTGAGGGAAGTTAATTGTGAAGTATCGAAGGAGCTGTTTCCGGTTTCCACTGGAGCTGTTTCCGCCTGCCGCCGGAGCTCCGCCCCTGCAGCTCGATGAGAGCCGAATCGACTCGAGCAGGAAGCGGACGGATGTTCTGGGAGGAAGGCAGGAACAACAAAAAGGAGGAGGAGTGACTGTCCGGGTTTCAAACCCGTTAAACACACTTTTTAAATAAAGTACGCAACATTCGCTGTAGGTAAGTGCGGGTTTTCATGGAGTATTGTTAAAGAACCGTGTTTAATTTGAGCTGTGGGGTTTTACCCGCTATTAGCCGCTTAGCTCCGCTGTGCCGTAAAGACAACACTGGCTAGCATTGACTAGCCAGTGTTGCGTTTACCTAATGGTAAAATGCCCATGTGAGCATTAAAACAGGCTTTACAGCTTTTATCTCAGGCTTTCTTCTCATCATCCAGCATGAGGAAATCGTTATTGATTTCGTAGCATCTCGGCAAAAATATTAATGGCGTGCATTTCTAGGGATTATTAATAATCACTGTTGCCACTAGTGGAAGTTATATGGGTATTCTTAATATACTAATGTATAATATTCAAAAATTTATTTAGGAGTTTAGGTCTTGTTTGGCAGGATAGGATTTTAGGATTTCAGACACTTAAATAACAAAAATCTAGACAAATATCATATTA